GTGGGCTTCCCCTTACTACTCTAAATGTTGCCGATAAAAAAAAAAAGAATCTCTAAACAATTACGGCCAGAGGCTGCGGTTTTTTTTTTTTTTTACCAGACAATGAAGTTAATACTGTGAACTTTCCAAGGGGTTCCGCCTAGAGGTACGAGCTGCCATGCTTTAATAGCGCCATCCAGCGTCGCTTCGCAGCACCACGCTATTCTCTTTCTCAGGTTTACCACAGACTAAGAAAATGTGGTTTTTAGTAAATTCATGTCAAATACAGAAGGTTGTTTCACTTCCGGTTTTGTCCCCTTAGTTTCATACTTACGGTAGGCTATATTTACGCATCTGTAAACAAACCACTAAAGTAACACCAGTGCAGAAATGTACATTAAATCAGCTGCTTCTGTATTAAGAGTTAAGTGTATTTCCAGCCAAAAAGCGCGTTATGTTATTGCTTTGTCCCTTAAAATTCTCTGTAAATGATAAACACAGGCCAGACCTTTTTGCTTTTGGGAAGGGGGGTCCCTCATGATTAATAACGTAGATATCTGCACAGAATTACCCTTGCAGCAAATTAATAAGAACAACAGAAAAAGAAGATACTAGTCTGTTCCTCATTCCAGCAGTTACAATAACAATACAAACATAGAAAACATGCTTTGCGTGTACAGATCAAATAACATAAACACAATATAGCCGCAGGTTTCCCAAAGGACTACAGTATCCAAGTGCTCTGTCTGACGGGACTGTACCACCAGTCACTACACCCAGGTGAAAGCAGATCTATTGTTTACTCTCAGACCTACTCAGGTGACCTGCGTTCACCTGATCACTCAGGGTGTCTGCTCGGGGGGAGCATTCCCACAATTCTTTGCATCAAAGAGGGGCCGAACATGGTAGAGTGTCAGAAAGCAACACGACACCGTCAAAAGGGCAGCCGGGAGTATGTGACAACTTCAAAGGGACCATGGAGGCATGATTAGATGAGCGTGTGCTTGTGATTTGTGGTTTCAGTATTAATAACCATCCATCCACCCTCTAACGTCTTATTGTGGTCAGGACCCAGGAGGGACTGGAGCCTGTCCCAGGTACAGGGCACAAGCCTGGGGTACACCCTAGACTGGATGACGAGTTCAGTATTAATATGTTATGATTTAATGCTTACAATGTGTGTTGTCTATACTATGGTGCTTTAGGAAACGGAATTTATTTTGGATACTTTGGCCAGTGAACTGATTACTCGCATCCAGATTACAGGAAGCATTGCAGTTTCAGTTTTCTAGCGACTATGACTGACACAGGCCTGCAGGAAATGGTTTCCATGACGACTAAGAATTTACATCCTGTCTGAAGACATATAGACAAATGCAAAAAAGAAAAAAAAACTCCACTTGTCCACATCCCAATGACAAACAATGTCACCACCATTATCATTGTACTTTTGAGCTGTCCCTTTTAGGCACAAATAAGCCTAAAATAGTCAGCCAAGCTATCGATGTTGTAAAAATACCGCACAATCTGATGCCGGTGTCCCCTTCTGAAAGCGTGTTCATAGGAGTATCTCCTAGGTCTGCAGTGCACAGTGGACCCCCCCAGTGACCTCTGGACCCAGTGTGCCATACACAACATGGATTTATGGGTCCAGCTGGCATTCCCCTGGGAGCACTGGGAAGCAAATCCCTCATAGCGATGTGGGGGCCAGCGCAGTACCCCTGGATATCGTATCACAATGCCAGATATCAAAACAAATGCTTATGAGGTCACCCTAGAGAAGCAGTGGGCTTTTTATAGGCGCACAACGGTGACAGGCTGGGTAGGAAGCGAGCGAGCGGCTGGATCCATTCCTCCTTTCTTGGTCACCGTCCCCCCTCCATGATCCCTTCCCAAATCCTCCCAGCAACCCCCCCCCCCCGACTATCAATTCAATTTAGGGTCTGTGAAACCTGATCATGCCGTGGCAAAGTCCTGACAGCTGATTGTGTCAAACAAATTGCTTTGTGGATGTTTTCGTCTCTCCAGTTGCTGGGGTGATGAAAACAAGGCCCATGATCTAGACTCGACTAGGAGACACTATAAACAGCCTCAATGCAAACCACCTGTAGTGGACCCAAGAGGTGTATAAAGGGGTGGGGGCACAAGGGCACTGGTCCCAACTGAAAGCTGATTGGCTCCTGGAGTACCCTCTCCCCTGTCACTCACAGAATCAAAATATATCATTGGCTAATGACAAGGTTGGCCCTTGTGTATGAATTATGCCTCACCTTAAAAATGCTAGAGTCGCCCGTGCTCAGGACTTCTCCCGATTCTACCTTTCTGTCCTACATTCTCATCACCTTTACACCTTAACGCCTCATCCATCACATAGGGTTGGCCCGTTGGCTTAAACAGCTTCAGAGATCATTGCACGTTTGCACAACGTGCTCCGCATTCAGCAGACGCATTTCTGGATGAGCGTAACGGAGTTAGCGTCCTTGGTCTAGAGACAGAAACACCTGGACCTGATCTGTCAACCCTGAGGGTCTCAGCAAGGGGTAAGCAAGCCTGATCCTGGAGTGCCACTATCTAGCAGGTTTTCTATCCCACCCACTGAGTTATGATCTGTGTGAGATCAGGTGCGGTTCGTCAGGGACCAGGTGGGATGGAAAACTTGATGGATGTCGGCACTCCAGGATCAGGGTTGCCTACTCCTAGCCTAAGCTAACCACTCTGTTGTTCTTCTTCTGTTTTATAGGCAACACGCCTAGCTGCAGGCCATGTGGGTAGCATTTCTGTGCCGCAGTTAGACCGGCTCTTCCTCACCGTGTTGTGGTCCTCACAGCGCAGCACGTGGCAGGTGCTCCTGGACTGCTCTCGGGCTAAACAACCGAAGTAGCTCGGCTCCTGACTGTTGTGGATCAGCTTGTGGATGTGATGGGGCCGGTACTCAAAGAGCACGGCGTGGTGCAGGGGGTCCCAGACCCTCTGAGGGGCCGCGTCCAGGCAGCAGCGTACGGCAGAGCCCGAAATCCGCAGACACACGGGCAAGTCCTGGAAGGCGCAGACATTGCCCTTGGCGCCGCCTCTGTTTTTCTCGTGGTCCCGAGGTCTGCGGATCTCTGCCACTATCCAGGGCAGCATGGTCATCGTGGTGAGGGGGTGTACGGGGAGGGAGCCCACCAGCTGAAGCCTGTACTGGACCTCCTTGTCCCCATCCTCCAGTACACCCTGCGGCAGTTGGGCATGAAGGGGGTATCTGTCCGTTTGACTGCCGACTTGCTCCTGGATGGAGTCCGATTTGCGTTTCACCTCAAAATATATTCCCTCCATATGTTTAGGAGTTCTTCTTGGAGCAATCTGGACAGATAAAACCCGAATTGAGGTTAAGGATTAATTTAAATTGCCTTTAAACGCTTTAAATACCAAATAACGTTAATCTATAACGTTTTTAATCTATAAAAGACAATTAAACACAACGTAACAAGTTGTCAGCGAACAGATAGTATGTTATGTGGTTTAATCGGGTGTAGTTAATTTCTGTTACTTCCTGTCGAATATGTAGGGTTTCACAGGCGCCTACTGAGCCGTCTCATAAGCACACTTTTAATTAATCTCATTTTATAAATGAAAACTACTTCGACGGGCTGCAAGGTCAGGGGCGACACGTAGTCCGGCTCCGGTCCTCTTTCACCCCCGTGATAACGGCTATGAAGTGCAAGAGCATTTCACTGGATTAAAGACCAAAGCCAGAAATATGTCCACCCCGGAAACTGTGAACCTGAAAGTCATATCGCTACAAAACACAAATAAATGAATCCCTCAGTGACGTGCGGTATTTCATTAACTGTATATGTTAATAAGCAGAGACGCATGTGGCACATCAACCGATCGATGCCACATCCGTTTTTCAAAACAAATCTTATTTTTATCCCTTAATTTAAGACGATGCCAACCACCTAACTTATTGTCTTTGCAGAGATCCTGTACAGTATATCAACGCTAGAATAAAAGAGCAAACAAGATAATACAAATCACTCACCGACCCCTCTGTACTTCTGCATAATCGGACCTTTTCTTCCCAAATGCACGGACCGCGGCCGCCGTAAGCCGACTACAGCAGGCGGTACCGATCCAACTTCGCTGGGCTGCTGGTTCCCATGCTGAGCCGGTGCTGAGGGACCGTGACAGAGGCGAGCAGCGTCCCGCTAGGAAGCTCTGATGGTGTCGGACGAGGAAATGAAACTCAGTCATCAAATCAACAGTTATGAGACCGTATTTTGCTGTTTCGATATGAACACATACTGTAAGCTAAATCAGAATAGGTGGTGATCGTTCCCATTAAACTGAAACGTTATCGACTATTGCAAATCAGTAGCATAAAGAGAAGAAAGACAGAATCAAATCACTTGTTAACGCCATCGGAATAATTGCGAAATGCTCACTGTATTGGCAAACCATAAAAGTAACAGTACTTTAGAAAAATTTAGCCCAGGTAAACTGAAACGGAAATACCTTTTTTTTTCTTTCTACTGCATTTTGATCTCGATGTATTTACTTAACGTCCTGCCACCGGTACGGCATGTAAAGTCTGCGGCGTCTTTACCTTACGGATACCGGCTGGTTTCTCTTCAAACCCGGCCGGCTCCCCTTGCACGTCCTTCGGATCGTCACCTACCAGCGCCGCATTATGCCCCCCCCCCCCTTTTGACAGACCGCAACGGGCCGCCTCTAAAATAGGTGACCAAGCCGCCCCGGACTGCGAAGGCCACTATAAATAGCCAGCCGGAGACCTACGGACCATCTCTTTACAAGCCCTATGAATGATCACACTTCGTCTTGCTCTTCTGTAATTACTGCACCTTAATCAAATTATCTTGGGTTGCGTGCCCGCGATCCCGCCGCAGTCTAACATTTACGTGTCTCTGGGGGTGGCATTTCACATCCTAAAATTCATGTAATTTGATGGAAGCTGGAACTTGCACGTTTGACGTTTGACATTTTAATCGAATTCGGCCCAAAACATACAGAAGACAACATAATGTACTTTGCATCGGTATTAGTATCGTTTATTTATTAAATGAAGTACCAATAGCTTTCGCTTTATTACAGTATATCTATGAGAATTGAGACTATACTCAAATGAAGCTTTTGTATTTGTAATTACAGTATTCCTTGTATTGCGGACAGGATTAAGCAGCTGCATATCTCAATCATGACTATTCCGTTCAAGCTTTACATTTAAAATGCCTTTTAACACTTTTCTGGGAAGATACATTTCTGTAGCAACACTTTAATCAGTATACTCAAGAAGCAGGACCCCCCATATGTACGCCCTGCCTAATGTGGTTTTTACCGTAAGTATTAGTATTAGTGCCACCTGGCGACAGACATTTTAAAACAGGGAATGACTGAAAACGGGGGTTAGATAATTTATGATACAGGCAAATCCTGCTGGGTTACTGTTAACCCTCCATGTTTGAAATTTCTTTCAGAATCATTTCAATGCATACAAGAAACGTGCTTATACAGAGGATTGAAATTTATTTATTTAATTTTTTTTTTTTACAAACAGTTAAGTGGTTTCTAGAGAAACTCTTTGATGGAGTGCGTCATGCCCAGAGGGTACCTTGGTGCACTCTACACACTTTTCAAGTATGTAACCTGGTAGCTGAAAAGTGCGTAGAGTCCGCCAATTTACCCTCTGGGCATGACGTATGGTGTGTCCTGCTTCATGAGTATACTTGAAAAGTATGTAAACAGTTAACGGTTAGGTTTCTTGTTCGATCAGAATTATACAGTAATAACAAGGTATCGACTTATCGGTGCATCTTCTTACAAGGCTCTTAAACCGGAGCTAAAACTTGGTTTGGTAAAGGTTAAAAGATTCTCACACAGAGTAACAAAGGTTTTATTCACAAATGTGAGTGTTCACACTAAATAAATGCTCTATTTTGTTGATTGTTCCCTTATCTAAATCCAAGATTAGAAAACAAACCTGAAAATCAGCTGAAGTTTCAATCCCAGGTTATCAATTAGTCACAATATAATTTCTGGGATTTTAGGAATGTCGATTACCAGCTAATTTCTTAACCATCAAAGGGGAACGCTAACAGCATATATTTATTTAGTCACGGTGAATGGCGGAGAGGAATTTTGCTACTGTGGCCTTGGTGACAGTTTGTTCTTTTCTGGCTCAAAGAAAAATTTCACAATGGCGTCCACCAACTCATCCAGCTCTTCCTTCAGCTGTTCCAAATCACTGCAACAAAAAGTAAGCGGAGTCTGTTAGACTGGATATCGCCAGTACGCTCAGCACAATTCAATGGAATAACAGGAAATATCCATCCATCCATTCACCCACCCATCCACCCATCCATTCATCCACATCCAGGGTTACATTTACATTTTTACATTTACAGCATTTGGCAGATGCCCTTAGCCAGAGCGACTTACATAAGCGCTTTAAGACTCTACAATGAATTTTTCCCGATACTAGCTCAATAAAACCAAGGCTATGAATACCATCGATCTAATAGGGTTGTAAGGGGGCCAGGCAGCACAGAGCACGCACACACACACACACACACACACACACACGCACACACACACACACACACACGCACACACACACACACACACACACGCACACACACAAACAGTCCCATGCATGGGAAATTACAGGTGTGAGGAGGCAACAATGCATGTAATGAATGCTTACATTTTTAAGTATAACATTTGATTTTACAGAATTAAATGATTCACTTCTCCATGTTCAATTCTCCTAACAAGATTTTAAAGTAATACAAGTATTTACTCTGCTTCAATAAAATTATTATTTAGACGATCCAATATAGACAGTAAATCTTTGACTCTGGTGCCACCTAGTGGAATTTCTTAAGAATTACATGCATGTCCAAGTGATGGGTGCACAGCCCACCTGTTTCCGGGTGCAGCACACAGCTCAGTGTAGTACTTGATCTTGGGCTCAGTGCCACTGGTCCTCATGGTTGCCACTCCACCGTTGGAGAAGCTGAACGTGATCATCTGACTGCTCTTGCTAATCGGGAGCACCTGGGGTGAGACGGATTTAAAGATAAAACAGATTTTAAAATAAATTCACTTCTAGTGTATATGCAGCTGATCCATCATCTATACCATTTATTTATATTTATTTAGCAGATGCTTACATTCAAAGCAACATACAACTGAGGAACATTCTGGAGTCAGAAAGGGTTTAAGGCCTTGCTCAAGAGTCTTACAGTAATATAATTCTTCAACCAGTCATGGGATTCGAACCTATGACCTTCTCTCTAACCTATCAAGCTACACATAAGTGCTGTAGTTTGATAAAACTACATGAAATCGTACCGCCTTCTTATCGGGCTGGCTGCTATCATAGTCCGCGGTGAGGTCGCGCACGCCGGACACGGTAAACGTCCCGCATGATTTGGGGTAGGTGTCCTCCCCGTCGTAGTTACGGAGACGCTCGAAAAGCTGCCGGATGGTGTCCTGGTCGTGGCAGATGAAGTAGGAGTTGCTGGTGATGTGATGTCCGTATCTGAAGAGGGCAGACAGGCAAAGAGAGAAAACCATCAGGCTGAAAACCGATCACCTGGGGGGTGGGGGAGGGGGGGGCTCTACAGGCAGCAACTGTACCTCACCAGAAACCAGCATGGGAGGTTCAGTAATTCATGGAAAATGTGGGCACCAGTTAGGTGTTAGGGGACCAGCGCAGCCAGAGAAACCAGCACTCTCCACTGGAGCGGCAGTGGGTAAGTACAGCAGCGAATGGGCAGCGGAGAGGACACCCACTCCTCGTAGATGGCGCTCAGCTGCTGGGTGAGCGTGTGGCCCTGGGCACGGAGGGAGGAGGCGCACTCGGCGACGATGGCGGCCGCGCTCACGCCGTCTTTGTCCAGCACTTCCGGGCTGCACATGTAACCTTTGGGAGACACCAGCAGATCCTCAAAAGGCCGAACTTAGGAAAACCGTAAACAAACACCGTATATCGATGCTTTTAGGCGGAATGGCGATGCACGATATACATCGCGGTATATTCTATTAATTTTATTGGCCAAGGAAAGTGACACAAGGAATTCGACTTGACGTTTCGCTCCAATACAAACAAGACAATTAACACTAAACACAAGAGAAAATACAGGTATGAGGTAATCCTAAAAACCCTACTGCAAATAGTAATTATATATAAATATTCTAGATGTCTGTACAAATTAGTTGTAACCAAAAGTGAGACAAGTCATTAAATAGTGAGATTTCTTAATGGCTGTGCAACATTCAGCATGCAACAAAAAATTATAATACAGTATGACATACTACGCTATTACAATTTCACAGGGTGGCAGAGGCAGACTTTTCACATTAAGTCAGAAAGGGTATTAACTAAAGAGATTTCAGATAGTTATGCAGTGTACATAGTGTGACGAGATTAGCAATATAAGCAGTACTAAGTACTAAACATAATAAACAATGTGGGGGATAAATGTTTCGTTTAAAGTGAAAACCACATATAGGATCTCAAACACTCAGTCAAACACTGTGGTCAAAACAGAATGCAAATACAGGAATTCCCTCGCCCATTTGCAAGTATACAAGTACAGTTGTTCAGCACAGACAATTTCTCCATTCCAAACAGTTTCAAAATAAAGACTAAAATAAACGATGCCTATACGTATTTCGCACGGGTCAAATAAAGCAGCTACGACACCATTACATTTCACCCCACTATGTCCGCTAACAGACTTTTGTTGGTTCACCAGTCTTACACAAAACAAAAACACCAAAATCTAAACCGAACACCTATTTGGCAAACGGCTCCAAAGAACAGAAGCCTGGCAACCATGGAAAGTGCGTAAGTAAGTTACGATCTTTTTAACCTGCGAGACATTTAGTGATTCTGGGATTCTGTGCAGCATCACGAGCAAAGCTCTCACGTTGTTTACAGACTGGAAGGAATACGATTGGTTACTTTTAGAAGTAAGAGAGACCTGATTTTATTGCACAATAACAGCATATTGATATAAATGGTATAGTCTCATCTTACATCTTGTTTTGTAACGTATTGATATGCTGCAAGAATTCTATATACCGCCCAACACTAGCTGAAAGGGTCATTCTGGTCCAGCTCAACAGATGCTCCACGTTCAGCCATCTCAGAATTGAATCATTTTGTGGCATCTTGTTTGCCTCTGGGGCAATATGAAAAATCTAAAATTTCTCTGTGCTTACACCAGCTTGAAATTCAATGAGACTTTCCCTTTGTTTGCAAAAATGCTTTGTCGGCCATTTTCAGATGTCTGTACCTTTGCGATGCTAACATTCAACAGCATGCACCGTAGCATGTAACCCAACTTAAAAGTTTTTTCTCTAATCGGTCAGGAGGCCCAGAATCTTAAGTGGTACTAAACAATATTGTCATTTTTCACTGTGACATTTGAAAGTTCTAGGTGCCCTTTACAAGGTTTGTCACCCATTGGGGTGACGCCCATTCTTCAGTTATCAGACGGCTGCCGTATACAAATGAAGGTCAAAGACCGAATCCACAAGCAGGTCACATGACAGGACTATGGAATGCTGGGTAACCCCTTGTGGTTATGGCCGTCGCCTCTCAAGTTAACATCCAAGTACAAGTACCTTATCATAATCACTGCTGCTCGCCTATTGGCTGTTTAACATGAGACACACGGGAATAAAAAAAGCACAAGGCTCCCCATAAAAGCCGGGCCCTGGTGGATGTACCTATAGCCTCTTCGAAGGCAAACAGCACCGTCTTGCCCTGGTCCAGCAGCTGCTTGGCTCGGTTCCCCATCCACTTAAAACCGGTCAAGGTTTCCTGGCGAGAGGTAAAAACGACACACCTTAGAGACCGAGTAGGAAGATACGGGACTGCCAAGAACCAAAGCACTCACCGGCAGTTTATCATCAACCGGTGGACCCAGTCAGGAAGCCTACCCACAGGGGGGTGGGACAAGGGTGGGGGGCGATTCTGAGAAGCTTATTTTGGACTCGTAACGATCTTGGTATCTTGGATTCCATTGCCAAGCTAGGCGACGTCTCCTTGCCATGTTATGGCTTATCCATGCAACACAAACAGATAAAACAGCCTGGGAAAGAGGCACGCTAGAGGCACAATAGAGGCACGCGAGCCTGTTGGAAGCAGTGGAAAATAATTTCGGGCACGTCAGAAGGCACGTACCGTACCAGGCAAAAGTCTGGACACACCTGCTTTTAATGCATCCGTCTCCATTTTAGCTGGAATTCACCTAACAGTAAAAAGCCCGAAAGCAATGAAGTAATACATATGAAATATTGCAACGACCAAGAGAAGTGTTTAGCATCTCAATTCTCAAAATTTTAGACTCTAAACAAATAACCCCTTTTTGTTTCGATGTCGGCATTGCAGACTCGTCATTCTTTCAACCAGCTTCCAGATGTAGCCACCTGGAATGCTTCTCCAACAGTCCTGAAGGAGTTTCCACAAGTTCTGGACACAACTTGGCCACCCTGCTCTTACTCTTCAATCCAACGCATCCCAAACCAGCTCTGTAGGGTTTAGGTGGGTGGGGGGGGGGGGGATTGTGGGGGCCGGGTTATCTGTCACAGCACTCCATCTCTTTCCTTCTTCATAAGATGATAGAGATCTGTGTTTAGGGTCGTTACCTTGTTGAAGGTAACGTTGGTGTGTCCAGATTTTTAGGGTAAGCCATTTGTTCTGGGGGCTACGAAAAGCTGACTCTCCTACATTCAGTTAGATGAGACACCCAGATACACCTCGAGTCTCTGGGCAGGGATAGCAGCTTTCTGTTTACGCAAGATAAAGCTGTTACCCGCCCCACTGCTTGAGCGATTCTGCTGACTGGCTGTTTCCCTGGATGCCGCAGCAGCACGCCGAGGCCCCCCCAGGGGCCGCGAGCTCGTACCTCGAAGTGGAACCCTTCCTTGAGCGCTATGGCCCGCAGGATCTTGGAGGACACCGTGCTGGCCAGCATGTAGACGTTCTTGACTGCAGCAGGTTCCGGGTTCTTCAGCTTCCAGCAGCGGAACAGCCACCAGCCCAGCAGGGCACCCAGCTCGTTGCCGGAGAAGACCCGCCACTCGCCGCTGGCCCGAAAACAAGCGGAAACGCAGGCCTTTCAGTTCACCAGCGCCGCTAAGAATTTTAAAGATTTTGAAGGGTTTAAAAAGAACAATAATGTACCGGCAGAGACTGCACTCGGGTGGTGAGGGGGGGGGGGGGGCAGAAAGGGATTTTAACCCGTGTTTCATACATAAACACGGGAGGGAACGACAGGCGGGAGACAGCTTAAAGCCTGCTCCACAAGATAATCCTCTGTTGACGGTAAACGCAGTACCAGTCAAAAGTCTGGGCACACCTACTGGGAATCAGTCATTTTTCAACAAGAATAACCTCGAGGTTTGCTTAGGGTTGTTATGAGAGACCTGTCTTATCTTGTCAACACTGAAAGAGATGGAGCGCGGTGACTGATGACCTGGACCCCACAATCCCAGAACTTGTGGAAACTCCTTCAGGACTGTTGGAGAAGCATTTCAAGTGGCTACATCTGGAAGCTGGTTGAAAGAATGAGTCTGCAATGCTGTCATTAAAGCAGAAGGGGGCCATTTTGAGGAATCTAAAATTTGAGAACATTGAGATGTTGAACACTTGTTGGTTGTTGTGATATTTGATATGCATCACTTCCTTGCCTCTAGGCCTTTTATTATAAGGCGATTAAACATAGCTAAAATAGAGACAAATGCATTACAAGCAGATGTGTCTGGACTTTTGACTGGTACCAAATGGGTTAAATAAAAACAGAGGTTTGGGGCCTTGGACAAAAATGCCTGGGAAGCTGGGAAGACAGTGGGAGGGATCGGGGGGACCTGCGTCTGGTTCTCCGGGGAAACTCCGCGCCGGGGAATCTCACCTCGGCTGCTTTTCAGCCACAGCCAGGCGATCGGCGTCGGGGTCGTTAGCCAGAATGACGGTGGCTCTCTCTTTGTCGGCCAGCTTGATGGACAGGGTCTGTCGGGGACAGGACAGGCACAGAGCGGCTCTCAGGGGCATGTGACGCCCAGTGCGGCCGTTTCGGTCTCAGTCCCAGGACTGCTAGCATCACACACAGACTGGGCACAGGTGACCTACACTGAGCAATACGCGACATAGGTACTAGTCCTTTTTATGAGCTAAAAAACAGAACTATCTTGTTTTATCTAAAGAAATAGATACTTTAAAAGTGCCATCAACATTTTCTTAAATTTATCTGATGCTTTTATTCAAAAGAAATTTACAGTAGAGAGAAGGATTACAAATTATGCGTGCTCCCTAGGATTAGAACCTATGACCTTTGCATCATTAGTGCAATGGGCAATGCTGTACTTGTTGAGCTACAGAAATGTACAGCCAACAGAATAAGCAGGGGCTGAAAGTCCAGGTCCAGAAAGTACAAATCCAGACCAAGGTTTTGTTTCAGCCAACCAGTTCAGTATAAAGAGTCGCAGAGTACTCAACTGGTTGGTTGAAACAAAACCCTAGTCTGGATTTTTATGTTATGGACCTGAACTTTCCGCCTCTGAGAATAAGTCCATCAAACAGAAAGGCTGCGACAGAGATAAGCATCATAAAGACAAAACCCCTCATCTCCATGGAAACCAGGCCTAAGCTCAGTGCGCCGCACCTACCAGGACCCCCTTTCCTTCCTCTGGGTTGGGGTACTTCACTGTGGGAAACTCGGGGTCGGGGTCCTTCTGCTCCTCCACCGGCAGGGGAGGTGGGAGTTCGAAGGCCTTAAATGCCGACTGCACGAATGCGTGGCCCACGCCGTGGACAGAGGTGTGGACAAACTTCACCTTGGAGCTCTTGTTAGTATCTCTGGGGGGGGGGGCAGTATGGGACGGCATGGTCAGTCTACACCTGCGACAGGTCAAAGCTGCCAGCAGCTCACAGGGACTGAATTCAGGAAGACCTGCAGTGTTCTCCAGTAAAACTACAAGCTCACAGGGACTGAATTCAGGAAGACCTGCAGTGTTCTCCAGTAAAACTACAAGCTCACAGGCTTCTAGATGGAGGGAGAGCACTTGCTACGTAACCTATCTGCACTGGGGCCTCCACCTGTGAAAGCAGAGCTTCTGAATGGTCTCGAAGTACTCCCGGCTGATCTCCTCGGTCCGGTCCTGCAGCAGAGGGCTCTCCTTGACCAGCTGCTCGTCCCAGGACTGCGGCCAGGGCTCCAGGTTCTGCTCGATGTACCTGGAGATCTCCTTATCATGGGGCGGGATGATCTGGGAGCCATTCTCCCAGTAAACCTACCAGAAAAGGCCCACAGAAGATGCATCTCGGGGGGTAGCATTCACATCTCAAGGTCACTGGATGGTGACGTCAATGAGCCCAACTGTCCATACATTAAAATGGCTCTTACGAGCAGGGCGGAGTGAGTTACCTTATAGCCGTTGTCCTCTTTAGGGTTGTGGGAGGCCGTCACCATGATCCCAGCACAAAGGCTCCGATTAGACACCGTAAAAGGCTGAATTGATGGGGGGGGGGGGTTGGGGATACATAAACATTTAAATATCTGTAGGAAACTAAAATGCTTGCATAATACATCCATTTTTAAAAACAACCAATCAACAACAACCAGGCACTCTTTACTGCACAGGTTTACCCAGGCTAAACCCCAGGGGCTTCTGCTATAAACTATAAACATGTTTAATAAAATTTTAACCCCGGCCCCCAACCAGTCGACAACTATAATATCGCAGGAGAGAGCAAGGGGGCCTCTGACAACTCAGATAGTCTAGGGGCTTAGGACCATGTTAATGTGTCTCTGATGAGGGAGGTAGTCTATCCAAACAACATCCAGGCCAAAAACATTAAAAAGTTACCGAAGGGCAACCCCCAAATCCGGGCCATGTGACCACGTGAGCAACGCGTGATTGGCCACATGACCTCGCCGGATTGGTCCATATATATCTGGCAAAAAGCCCAGACCAGAGGAGGGACAGGACAGCAAGGCAAGAGCGCAGTGAGTTTAGCAATGTTTTACCCAGGCAGGAAGTGAGTCACTGTACCGGGCGGCAGAAGGGTAGCCAAGGAAACGGGGAGAAAGATGTACCCAGGCTCAGGAAAGTATGCTGAGCCCTCAGTCAAAGACATGAAAGCTAGAGAAAGCGGAAAAACCATCTGGCTCAGAGCAGGCGGTAATGTTAGCAAGGAGACAAAATCCTACTTAGTCTGACCCCTCATTGGGAAGTTTTATAAACCCAGAAGACAAATATAGCAAGTTGGCAATCACTGGACTGGTGATTAGCAGCAGGACGAGGGCAGTGGCTGCCATCTGCACTGTCAGAAAAGAAGGGGACCAATTTGTACCTTTGTTGTCACGGGGGCTGCACCCTCAAGGGTAAATGTACCTTTAGGCACAGAAATGGACTATGAGGGACATTTAATGTACCACTGGGGGTACATTAATGTTGCTTCTACCTTGGAGATGTTCCTCAGAGTCCACTTCTGTACCTTACATTAGACTAAAAAGGTACAGTTACCTACAGCTAGGGCACAATTGGCAGACCTCTGAGGGTACAGCCCCGGTGACAAGCTAAGGTACAAATTGGTCCCCATTTTCTGGCAGTCTGGGTTCTATTTTGAACAGTGTCTCGCCAGTATAGTTGAGCGCGTCAGCTCAGTAGGGCCAAAAAGCACATACAATTCTGCCGGAGTCCCAACCGTGAGCCCAGATGACACCGACCACCAATCTGAAAATTTAGGTGTCAAACCATCACTATTTTACAGTGTTGTGAAATACATGCTTGGTTCACTTCTCAGGCCTCGTACATGATGTTGGGAAACCGCGGAGCTTAAAAGCGATCACACGTGCAAATGTTAAAAGAAATGACTACTCTGTGAAGCCTTTACAGATGGTGCATGTGAACATCACCACTGGACACAACCAATAAGGGCACTGCAAGCATGCATACATACAGTATACACTGCAGTGAACTCACTGCTCTCCAGTGAATCACAGAAATGTGTGGTTCAGTTTCCTGGAAGGGAATTTTAACAGAGCAACATTTATGGTGAAAATATTAGGAAAATACAAGAACTAAATAAGCCAACTTCAGGTTCATGTTTCGTAATATACATGAAAGAGCGTTTGTTAATTCTGCAAAATTACCATAAATAATTTCCACATCCAGCCATGTACCAATACAGTAAATGAACAGGCATCTCTTTCCTGTCTAACGACAAACAGACAGCATTCCGGCCGTAGGTATTACCACAAAGGGGGTGGGCGTGATGTCACTGAAGAGGTAGACCGGGACCCCTTGGCTGATCATCACGGCGGCGGCCAGGGTGGCAAACCTCTTACTGCAGCCCCCGCTGGGCGGGTGGGCCCGAGCATCGTACCCAATCACAACTCCCCGTTTCTTCAGGTCTGGGAAGTTCTTCTCCAGATACCTGCAGAACCCCTGGAAGGACAGTTTGATCACAGTGCATTGTGCCGTTACAGGAAGACGTCAATAAACAGGGCTGCCAGACTTCTAATGGTGAAGGCAACTCAGCAGCATCATTAGATCAACTTTACAAGCTACACATGTTCAGGTATTTTCCATATAAACTTATAGCACACCGCTGCTCAACCTTATAGGGACAGGACAGGTCCCTCCGCATTGCGATACCCACAGAAAAACCCTGAAGTGTTTTTAAATACAGAGAACACAAAGACCATACTTGTGGTCTTGGCAAGACCAGTCTTGCTAACTTAAGATCAAACTTGGGGAATCATGGGATTGGTCTCGTTCGGCAAGGATGCAACCAATGTATCCTTGATATTTGGGGTGGAACAAGACCAGCATCGAGGGATTTTTACAGTCCTCTGAATTTCTGTTCTTGAGTATTGGAACTGATCTTCAGCAGTGGAACATGACGTAAAATGGGGGTGCGAGTACGTTCAAATACACATATTGAAAAATACCCCTGGTCTCCTTACCTGGGTGGTCTGGATGATGGTGAGGTCGTTCATGCAGGAGACACCGGGTCCCATGGCGGCCCGGAGGCCGGCCGTCCCAAACTCCATGCGAGCTCCGAAGCACTGCCGCAGCTTCTCCGTCGCACCGTCCGCCTGCATACTCCGTACCGTAGACAGCGTCTTTGGGTTCTGCGATCAGAGAGCAACACAGCGTAAGCAATTGGAAGTGAGCATATGTATAAGGGGGTCTGCATGGGAATATATGCACCACTCTTTGGAGAAACCGTCAAAGCAAGCACGTCAACCGTTGTTCCTCAACACACAATGATGCATTCATGCAGAGCATCGTATCGTATCGGAAATGCACTTGAGTCAAAATTTGATACTGCACATAACTTAATTGTTCTGCAAACCCCAGAGAGATGGTCAGTTTTAAAGCTCTGCGTTTTGTAAATACTCGGTTTCACGATTGTTTACACGTCTTTGTCGTTCCGCCACGTAACAAAATACTCAAGTCAAGAGAAAGCAGGTGTCAGTAGCGTCAAGGGAGGATATCACATGTAATAAACTGTACGAATGACATACAGCACGGACGGAGTACTGATCACACGTCCCGATTTCTTGGAAATTAAGATCTTTACGACTTATCTAAGCCCACGTGAGCCTCCGCCACGCCAAGCGGCTAATCTGCTTAGTTTTCCATGGTTCTTTCACTTCATCTCCTTTCACCACGGATTTTATGATCAATGTGGAGCAAGACACACGACAACCTGCTGCATCCCCCCCCCGGGTTTAGCGTCGATACGCTGAATTACAATTTGTATGTGCAAGACTCCCACCTAGAAAATAACAAGCAGCGCTGTTTAACTGTCAGTTTTCCCTGCTTTCTGTGCAGATTTATACGTATTACTGACTTTAACAGAGATACGTGTCGCCTGTTTTTAAGTACAGTAAAGTATGCAAGTAAATAGGATGCAAAGAATGCACTTCAATAAAATGCGAATGACTTATTGGTAACAAGTCTAGTATCAAATCCATAAACAGTGTGGCGATGCACGTTACTGAACGTGAAATTTCCGGTGACTGTACGTTACACTAGTTAAGTAACATTTCTATGGCAGATTTTTATTTCCCAGCGAGCTGAAGTTTACAACAGCAGCCCGTGGGACTAATCTGAGACCCGTGAAGGAAAACGTGAACTTTCCCTTAGGAAGCATTTGCATCCCGACAAGCGAGGGCGGCTGCTGTGACAGGCAGGTATATATATCAGGGTATCATGAGAGGATCACGAAATAATATTTTTCTTTTGTAATGCAATGTCAGCGAAAAGTTGATGTCCGGTGTCCTGTTATGAACGCGTTTAACTGTACGAAGTGCACCCGCACAGTGATAAATATTGCATGTTTCGGCATCGATGCAAATGGACAGATCGCTTCGACTGCCTGATCTCTCCGACAGGAGTTGTCACTTTACTGGGGAAAACACGATCGGGACAGTATGGATAAAGCATATAAAGCCCAATGTCTCACCTTATCCAGCCGCAGCCATTCCTTAATCTCATGATCCAAACTGGCGTCCATCTCCATGTTCTCCCTCTCCGCAAATCGCTGTCTATAAACGGGCTAAAGATCTCAGCCCTTCGGAGCGAGACGGACTAAGAATCCTTTCCGCCTCGAACGAACCTGCGGCCGTAACGCGGCTGCGAACTAAACGCTGGGGAACGTGGCGTGACTTGGCGTGACGTGACGTGTCGTGACGTGACGCCGCCGCCCAGACCGGTGTTCCGGGCAATTCGGTTTCCCTATGTTTCCCCTGTCTATCAGGAAATAATGTTTCCCCTAATATTAAAGCAAAGAGGTATGTGAAATGTCTGAAAATCACTCAGGTACATTATTACATGTGAATACTGTATTGCTATTAGTACCGAGGCCCAGAGTTGCTGTATACCTGTTTTAACAGGGGGGAACCAAATATCCTGGATGTCAGGAAATAATGTTTCTCCTAATATTTAGGCAAAGATGTATGTGGGATGCCTGAAAATCACTCAGGTACAGTATTACATGCGAATACAGTAGTTCGTCAAGCATAATATAGTCTTATAAGCAATACTATACCGTTTTCATTAAGAAATATCTCTATCCAGCAATTAAATACTTTCATGTATTATCTGTAAAAACAAAAAACATCGAAAAGGCATGTGATGTTTTAAAATATATGACTTGTTTACCTCAAGAGCTTCGTAAAAAGACATTATAACAACAGCGAAACTGTGTACAAATCAGCGCGCGACAGGGGAAACATAGGGAAACCGAATTGCCCGGAACACCGGCACCCGTCCTGCGGGGGGCGGCATGACAGGCATGCTGAAATCTCCATGCACGCCTCTTATTCTTCCGTGCACCCGACAAACGAGTCAGATATGTCCAAAATACTTAACGAAATTATGAAATGGTATGTTACGTTTCGGCGGCATGATGAATATCAATTAATTCCCTGCTCAGTAACTACAGTGAAATACATGAGGTGGGTCTCATTTAATAAGTGAGGGTTTGAACAACCGATTGGTGCTGTGCTTAACACAGCAAGAGGGGACTTGTCAGGAAAATGTTTAATTTAAAAATACGACTGTTCGTCTGCACAGAAGCGCATTGCATTAACAAAAGATAAAAAGACACCTTATCCCGTATACAAATATATTTGTTCATTTTCATTAAACGTGGACTTATCACGGATTCTAAAACACTAAATCCAGCACAGCAGTGTTTAGTCTTCCAGTCACGGCTGCATTTGTGACCAGTTATCGTGACTAGAGACAAATCAGGTTCACAGTCATGTTGCACATCGAGGTAGCATTTCCTCACCGGAGTCATTTAAAGGGCTACAGACGTAGTACACCCTGAAGAGTGAGAACCAGCAATTGCAGTGCATTTTGTGTTAGTCTCGGTTTTGTTCATGGGTGACAACTACCTGACACGCCTTAAAATTCTCTAAATCTTTCAAGGTCCCATAGGACATCCAGTAAGGAGTTTCATGGGGGGGGGGGGGAACCTAGTCATTTTTAATGTATTCATCCACAGTGCATTGCAACAGGCTTCGGTCACCTATGAACAATACCAGTTACTGGCCCAGCCCACAAGCAGGAACCATGTACTGAGGCTTCTGATGAAACAAATAAATTCGTTACATGCTCTTACTGCAAGAGCAAGTAACTTCATAGCTATATACAAGAACACCATCAGTGGAGCAGTCCAGCATTAAAGGCCAGTTCTATGGAATCACACACACAAAAAGACCCTGCCGATTTAAGGACAGACGCTCTACCTAAACATGCAACTTCCCATAGCATACAGAATAGTGTTAGTGGAAGGCAGTGCATATAGTGTAGGATGATCCAACCCAGTCCATGTAAACACTACTTTATCACCAGCCGCCTGATGAGCTAGTACAGCCAATTAAAACCCCAGCACAAAGCCTGGAGCAATAGTTGCCTAAGGTACAAACACCATTCCATCAAGACCTCATCTACACAGTTCGAGAGAACCATGGAGGGGAACAAAGACCACACCCAATCACATTTAGCACTATAGAAACGACACGAGTAGTCTTTAGGGAGTTTTATTCGGTGCACTTTGCAATTTGTACAAACTGACAGGTTGTCAAGCATTGTGTGTCACTTGTGGGAATCTAGCAGACCACACGCCTTACTCCGTTACGGAATAAAGCAATGCCAAGAATCTAGATTCCCCGTGTGCCGCATTTGTGAGCCGAGGGATTGATCCATGCTCCAGACGTGTGCGGTGGAGAATGAATCCGCGTTTCCGCCATGCCTAAGACTTCAAGATTTCCTTCTCCTGTTGAATAGCTGCGGAGGCAAGGCATAAAACGCGGTTACACGGGCATGCTAATAAGTCAGTCTGCATTAGGGCAGTCCTCGGGCTATTAGAGGGCACCGGGGTGACACGCCCTCCCATACATTCAGCCAAAGCCAAAGCAGACGCAGCCGTAATCTGGACTCTGAGAATCAGAGACGCAAGATTCTGGGAAAGGAGGAGATTCCACCCCCGCCGATTTCAATCAGCATTTACTCGAGGCAATGCGTCGGAGCAAGCGGCGCCCGTCCCCCGTGGAAGCTGATACACCCCAAAAGCGCCCCGTTTTACATAACCGTCTGTCGGCTACTCACTCTCATTTGAAGGGAGCGTATTCTTCTCCTGGGTGCAAGTCTTCTTCAGTTTGCTTTTGTCAAATTGTTCGATCTCGCTGACATTGGGTTTATCTGCCATTGTGCAATTACTGTCACAAAAACACATTAAAAATAAAATCACTACCAACGGAACTAGAAGGTGCCACCATTCCTAGAACTCTGCTGCACACCGCGATAAACAGAACAGGGGAGCATCACTAGTTCCGTGCAATTAAAAATATAAAAAATAAACTCCACATTGACTAATGATGCCAATGAGGGGGGGAAAAAAACCAAACAAAAAAAAAAAAAAAAACAGGAAAAGCGGCACCTGGAGCACGTGCAACACCTCAGGAAAAAAGGCACCACACAGCAAAACTAATGCCTTCCAATATACGATTTAACCTCATATATTGGATAAAGTTCTGTCACATAGAAAACCAATTTCAACACGTATCAAAAAAAGGAGATTATTATTATATATTTTTTTTTTTTTTTACCAGACTACCTTGCCGTCTTGTCCAGACACCAGCACCCGATCAGCGTTCAGAACAATAGAGGTACCGCCTTGCGCTGCGCAAGCTTTTTATTCTGGATTCTGGTGACGTCACAAGACAAATTAACGGGGGTGCTGGATGGCCTGTATACGGAGCTGCTGGTACATAATTTTAAGCATTTATCTGGCATATTTATGAGTATCCCTGTCCCTTTCCATTTAATCGTATCGTTTGGGACATTGTAAATAATTATGATGATTGTATTCCCGCAATCAATTTATAAACCCAAGTTTAAATTTGAATGCACAGTTTTAATCCTGGATTTTATATTCTGCTCAGTTTCCGTTTAAAAAAATCTCAAAGTGCTTGTACTTAGACGCAGCGTTAGAAAAAATATAGGTATGCGAGTGTATTATAAATGAATTAATCTCTAATCAGAAAGCAATCTACACTGGGGGGTCTACGGGACCAAAGAAGTAGCATCTGGTGTAAATCAGGTATGAAATCGCTTTTTATTTTCTTTCTGTATTTATGTAGTCTGCACGCAGCGCCCCACCCACCAACCGCAAAAGGCGCTCCGCTCGCCCTTCGCCCAGCTCGAGGCTACGACGTCATCAGCAGAGCGCCGCCATGCAGCTGGAGCAGCTAGTGGGTGAGGGCAACGGGGCACGGCCGGGGCGGGCTGCTCGTCTTCGAAGAAGGATCACGGGCGGTGACGGCGGCGCATGGAGGTATGCTTGCAATGATACGGCTGATATAGCTGTTTGGGGTCGGTCTGATCCGCTGTCAGTGTTTGCATTTGTTGTGATCACCCCCAGCGGTATGGTCCGTCGGGGTCACGGTCGAAGCTTAGAATACAGATAAAACACTCCAGTCTAGTTTACGTAATATTGCTCATTCGATTCGCTGATTTACTAGATAACGGTTGTAGGATCGCGATGTATAAATGACAGTCGGTGCCACTTTTAATACGGACCACAACTAACCGTTATCGACATTAAAGGACAGGCCGTGAAACATTTACCTGCCCGAAAAAAAGCCAGTTTCTCGGTAAGGCGGTCCCCCAGAGCAGGGTATTCGATCGAGTGGATTATAGGGTATCGATCGAGCTCTTTTGGGGTACTCCACTGTTGGCAATGGCGCCGTAACAAAATAATGGGAAGAAACCGTCCTGGAGATGGCCGCTTCTGGGTATAGTTCTCTCTGGATTGACACTTTGACAAGATTGCCAGGCGCAGGACATTAGTTGAATTTAAATTGCGATTAAACTGATCGCGCACAGCGATGGTCCAGATGTGCCCTGCTCGCTATGGACGCCCGTAAACAGTCATATCTGGATGCTGAAGGGCTGCTGATTCGTCGGTTCGTAGCTCCGTGCAGATTCCCCGTTGCCCGAGGCACACAGAGCGGGCTCGGTGCTCGGAGGCGCCCCGACCAAACGCCAAAGAGCAGGCCGGTCTTTAAGGTGGCGGGAAGGTCAGCGCCGCCGAGCATGTGCGCCGAGTCCAGGAGGTCACTTAAAATGCGCACGAAGCGAGCGACGCGCGTCTGCTAAACGCGGCTTTTGCATGCCGCATGTGTGTCGTCGACTGCTGCTTAGAGACTTACAGCACTTTTAAATGCAATACGCAGTACTACGCCAGTTGTAAAGGTTCTTATAATCGCGGTCCGGGAGTTCTGTCACATATGGCGGGGGCAAATGTACCATTGTAGGTGGAAGTAGGTGCCAGGGTGCTCTGATCGCGCTCCTCCGCCCCCACTTCGTGTCAGGCACAGGTGTGCAGGCCTCCAGCCCCAGGCAGCAGGGAATAAGGGTTAAGGTATGGACACCCTGCCGAACAAAAAGGTCTGCTCCAGAATGAATGTGTGAAGAAGGTGTAGTACTGCATGACAAGTAAGACTCTTCTTACTCGATATGGGTTGATGCTTTTTTTGTGCATCTTTTTAGTGTATTTGGTTTTGTTGGTTGGTTTGTTTTATATATATATTCATCCTCTAACCGTCTGTGTGTCTCTTTGACAAACAAATAAATCTTGAACCTGTGAAATCGCTGTGCATGTTTTTTCCCAGCTTAGAGGCACCTCCATGTTATGGCACATTGCCCCTCATTCATCTCTTGAGTCTGTAATTTGTTTTCTTCTCCTTTAGATCATTGTAATTCTCTATTCACCTACCTCTCATATTCAGCTCTAAAGAAACCCCAGTGGGTTCAGAATTCAGCCGCTGGACTGTTAAGCAGAACCGGCTACAGAGCACATATATCTCCGGCTCTGGCTTCTTTACCCCGGCTACCAGAAAAATATAGGATAGAACAGGGGTCACCAACTCCGGTCCTGGAGAGCTACTATCCAGTAAGTTTTCAGTCCTACCCGGCTTCTGATGAGCCACACCTGTTCCTGGTATTTACCTGAGAACTAGTGTGGCTCATCATAAGCCGGGTAGGATAGAAAACCTACTGGACGGTAGCTCTCCAGGACCGGAGTTGGAGACCCCTGGGATAGAATTTAAGATTCTTTTATTTGCTCTAAATAATCAGGCGTCCGCTTGTATCCGTGACCTTTTGACCCCAAACTCAGCCAACGGGACACTCAGATCTTCTGACAAGGGACTTCGTTACCCCCCCGGTCCAAGTTTACGATCAGGGCTGACAGAACTTTTGTGGTTGCTTCCCCAAGGCTGTGGAACAGTCTGCCCATGGACATTTGATCAGCCGGCGGTGTGGACTCTTAAACGGCATCTGAAAACTTATTTACTGACCATCTTCCTGCTGATGTTTGAATATCTTTGTTTTTTTTCCTTTTGAAGCACTTCATTCCAGAAAGGTATTCGGGTCTAAAAAAGTGCTATATAAATAAAATGCTTAGTTACTTACTTATGATTTGTACTGTATGACAGCACACATGAAACCCTTATGAATTCTCTCCTTTACAGGACACCAGCATTGAAAATCTGACTTGTACAACTCCCTGGACTGAATTAACACAGGGTAGGACGTTTGTTCGTTTATTTTCTAACTCCTTATCCTGGTCAGGGTCACAGTGTTTGTGGGAATCCCTTTTAAATTTTGTTTTATGAAGTTTTAGGGTAGAGTCAGAAAGTGAAGGGGATGATTTGAGTATTCCGTGTGAACGAGTCGCAACAGGTCAGAAACCTACATCCACGTGTAAGTGGGGATGTTAGGGCAGGCATAACCCAGCCACTAGGGGGTGCCCTGTGGGCGCACGCAGAAAGCCCTGGGTGGGCCTCAGCCGAAAGGGGGGAATCAATAAGGTGTCGGAATGGCACACAGGACCCTTTGGGGAAAATCACAGCGAAATGGCGCTGGGCACAAAACCAGAATGGCTGGTGAGCTTGTGCCATCTTCACTGGATCATGGCGTTGACTGGCAAATTAGTTGTGTAACAGAAAATCAAAAATACATGTAGTAACCTGAACCCTAATGCAGTCACCCACATTTCCACTAAGCAGATACAGAAAATGGGAGCAGCAGCTATCCTGTAAACTCGCGTCTTCAGGTTTAGGCTCACGGTTCGGGTCGGCGCCGCATGTCTCATGTGCCGGATCTGCGTTTGCAGGACGCTCCTGTCCCACGCGGGCCCCGCATCCCGACTTCCGGAGACCGACCGTGTGGCCGAATCGCTGGTGTTACCGCGCCCATGGTGGTGGGTACCATGGTGTCAGAGACTCGGCAAGGGACTCGCGGGTGCGAGGCGCCGAGCGGCGTTAAGCACTACGCCTGCGGCTCCTGCGCCGCCTTCACCAACATCGTGATAACCTTCCCCATCCAGAAGGTCCTGTTCCGGCAGCAGCTGTTCGGCGTGCGTGCGGGCGAGGCCGTCCGGCAACTGCAGAGGGACGGCTTGCGGAACCTGTACCGCGGCCTGCTGCCTCCTCTGCTTCAGAAGACCACCACGGTGGCCATCATGTTCGGCCTGTACGAGGACATGTCACGACTGCTGCCGCGACCTGCCGGCACCCCGGGGCTGCTGACCGATAGCGTCGCGGCCGTGCTAGCGGGCATCGCCGAGGCGACCTTGACCCCCTTCGAGAGGGTCCAGACGCTGTTGCAGGACCAGCGGCACCACGGCCGCTTCAAAAACACCGTCCACGCGTTCCGGACGCTGGTGCAGGACCATGGTGTGCGCGAGTGCTACCGGGGCATGGTTCCCATCCTGCTGCGGAACGGGCCCAGCAACGCACTGTTCTTCGGCCTCCGCGGGCCCATCAAGGGTAGCCTCCCCGAGGCTGAGACCCATGCCGCCCACTTGGTCAACGACTTCATCTGTGGCGGCCTTTTGGGAGCCATGCTGGGCGTCCTCTTCTTCCCGCTCAACGTCCTGAAGACTCGCATGCAGTCGCAGGTGGGAGGGGACTTCCAGTCCTCGCTCCAAGTCCTGCGCACCATCTGGAGTGAGCGGGACGGCAAACTGACGCACCTCTACCGGGGGGCGCACCTGAATTACCACCGCTCCATCCTGTCTTGGGGCATCATCAATGCCACATACGAGCTTCTCCTGAAGCTCATGTGACCCGGCGTGAGATGGTTGGATCACATTGTCCCTATTAAATTTTCAACAATCAAGAACAAAATGTTGTCATGAAGATGCTTGTGGTCTGTCACCATTATAGCATCTGTGCCCCCCCATCCATTGTTCTGGGCTGGACCGGGTCAGTACCATTTGGGTCGGTTGCACCTGTATGTTCCCCTTGGCCTTCATTTTTTTGTGCGGGGGGGGGGGGGGGTGGTCAGAGCCCAGTTGACTGCAATGACCCAACCGCCAGAAAACAGTCCCTGCTGACGACCACTTTTGGACTAGGGTCTCCATGTTGGCAGCTCTGTCATTTCTTTGGTGATGGTTTCTCTGTCAGGGAATAGAACTCCATCCATTCTCTGAGCTTATACAAAGCTTTAAAGCACAAGGAGGTGGGGTCAGGGTGCTGTCAATCACTCTGTATTAACCAATAAGGACCAATTGGTGAGTGAGAGCATGTGATGACTGAGAGCATGTGATGACTGATGTATCACCCTGAGCAAAGGCTACAGGCAAAAATCCATCCCTGTTGGTTTTATAGGTGCCCATCTATCTAACATTGGGCAGACGGAATGCGGTTTGGGTTTGGTGGCCTCTGTATTGGTACCAGTGTGCCAGCAAGCCCTCAGTCGTTTTCTCGAAGGCCGTTTCCTTACACTCAGACCTATATGCATTGATGCAGTTCATCTATTTGAATGAATGAATGAATGATTTAATTAATTCATTTATTCTCCTTAACAACCTAGGATGTCAGTACCAACGTTTGTTTAATCCCAACAAGACAACAGTAATGCACATCACACTGTCTTGAGTATTGACATTAAACAATATTGTTCCTTTAAAAGCCATCTTTGTTTGTATATAAAATACATGAGTTATGTTCCTTAATGTGGCAAATTTGTACTCTGATGCTTCTCAGTGTTAATCAGGCATTCGCACCTGGCTATTAAACAGTGTTCCATTCAGAAGTCAGCGGTTAGGACGACGTGAACCTGTGTTTGAAACGCAGATGAATTCAGTGGAAATGCAGCCATTTGCATGTGACTTGTTCATCTTAATGAATCTGGGTGTTCGGAAGGCTTAAATGCGCGATTGCATTTAGAAGAATGCAGCACATTTCTGGTTTAAAGAACGAATGTGATTGTATCTGTGTTTAAATGTGACGATTAGTTGTCACGGCAACACTGGATTCATTTTTAAGTCGGTAAATACATTAGTAAACCACTTATGTGGAAGTGGGATTTGTAAGACTATTGTTGGCCAAAATAGCAGAGTCATTTGGAGAATCATAGTTGGGGGGTGGTTTGGACCTTGGATAGATGATGGGGGTGGTCTTGGACCACAAGTGAACTTTAGGTCTTCCTGACAGGCAAGTCATGATGAATTATGACGTCAGTGAAGTGTTTACTTAAAGGGCCATGCAGCTGAATACAGCCCATGCTACTGAGGTTCTAGGGATTGACTGTCTGGTTACAGCTTTGATTTGTCAAAATGACATAATTAGGAAATGTCTCCCATCAGTGGAAGAAACGCATCGTGAGTTAAATGTGCCTTCACTTATGAAAGACTCCATGCTGGAGAAGCAAAGCTGGGACTTGTTTGACAACAGAAATGGTTGGAAAAATTGAATGAAAAGCAATCAAAATGCTACTTTATGGAGTGTTTTTCCACCCCCCACCCCCCCAACTGTCCTTGGCCGGACTTCCACTGTCAAACAATGTAAAATGTAATCTTTCGCCGTAGCTTTCCTTCAGAAATTTGATGTATATACCATGTGTTGGGACAGTCTCAGGCAAAGACTTAGAATTTAGTGTTTACCTTTTCGGTGACACGACTTCGAGGGATGGTGGCAGCTTTTGGAAAGAGGTTGGCCCATTGACCAAGGTGGCGTTCTTGTTTGTTGACTACCCTCGTGGCGCAGGCTGGCATCGGTGCTTTGCCCTCTGTGGGTAGCCATTTTTTCCCCCTCAAGTGATGGTCTGTACTCCACTGAAGAACACGTCAAATTTGCCACTGTAAAAAAAAATCCTTTTTGTTTCGCAAATTGTTTAAACCACGGTAGACACGCTTTAGGGTTTTTTTTCCCACTGCCAGTGTGTCCTGTGTGGTGTCTTGCATTAAAATAACTTTTGGCGTGACTTTGGATATGTTTGTGTTTTGGTTGTTATTTTGGTGTACATGCCAAAAGACGTCAGCACTTCCCCAGCTTGCCACGGGGATGCATCCCGGCCGTCTGTGTAGAAATGAGAGGTATAGACGGACATAAGCGTCCCTTACATCAGGAACGCAGATGCCAAACATGGATTGCCACTCCTGCCTTCTCAGCAATTGGCCGGAGAGGTGTGCCTGTCAGCCAATGGGGAAGCGGAGACCCTTGTCTTTGTCATGTGACATGAAGCCCATTTTTAAATGAAAACCTGACATGGGGTTTGTTCAGGGTTGCTGTATTCTAAGCAACTGACATCTCTAATAGCAATGCAAGCCGTTCATGGAACAGTGCATGGGATAAAAACCTTAAACTGACAATCAGATGTGTCCACTGCAGCATTACACAAGTATCACTGCACATACTGTCAAACAGCATATATCTGTATGGTTCATGTAAACTGATTATTTCATGTGAATATGGAAAAGCTGCAGTGAATGTTCAGTCATATGGGAGCACTCACAAGTGTTGATGGCTCTGGCTCACAGCGCACTTACACGTATGTCACATGATTATTTTTTTTTGTAATGGATACATTTTCATAAGAAATGAGACTCTCTGTTGCCTTGTGGAATGAGATTAAAGGTTTTACTCAAAATGGGCAAAACATGTTCCAGGCATTATTCATGGTCAAATAAAGGCAATATACTGGATTACAACAGAGGTTGAGCACTCTGTGACTGTAACTCTTTATGCTCAATCGGTTGGTTGAAACAAAATCTTGGTCTGGATTTTCATTTTCTGGACCTGAAATTTCCACCTTTGCCCATGAATGAATTCCATCAAGGAGGGAAGCCAAACAAATTACTTTGACTAAATTGTATCTCAGAATGGTAATGGGAGGTATTTTATTTTATTTTAGTTTCAGAAGTGACATTTACAGTTTTCGCTTAGTTGTAGTTTAGTTTTTTTTATTTTATGATCTCACTTTATTTCAGTTTAGTTTTAATTAATGATATCCCTGGTTCCTTCCATTGTGTTGGAGCAGGTCTGGGCAGAAAATCTAGGGTCAGTTATCTTTAAAAAGATCCACTGTGTATCAGAATAGTTTCAAATCAAAAGTTTTGCTTAAGTGGGGTTCATTAATTTAAACTTTTGTATAAAATATGCAAATGCTTTCACAAGATTATCAGTTATTACATTGTTCGTATTAGAAATTTTAATTTATTTGTAAAGTAATTTCACAATGCAGTGTTAATTTACAGTACCGAGCAGGAGTTTGACGAGAGTCACGGGAGATCCCCACCGACATCCCACATATAACCACACTCTTGTTTAGCTTGAGCGTTTCACCAATTTTTTCGCAAATGGGTGACAGAACATGAGGTCTCCATTCCTCTTTTTGTTGACGTTGTGTGTTCAGCCAAAACAAACAGCCTTTCATTTCTCAGGTTACACTCAACAATTTCAGTTAGCCCACACTGAATAAAAATGCTTTATAAAACAAGCCCAAGGGTTGGCTAAGTAGTAGGATTCCATTGGCTCATTTTAGCCCAGGTGGGGTTCTGAGTGGGACAGACGCAGCTTCGAGGTTGAACACCTTAATGTGGAATCGTACATGCAGGGAATTCAGCTGGCAGCTTGAGGCAGATCTGTGCACCCGAACTAACACAAGCACCATCGGATCAACAGGGTGGCAACATCTTGTGCTTTTATATTGTGAAAACAAATGCTCGAGGTATAACTCTCTAGTGCAAGTTCATCATGCATCCCATCATCGTGTGTAGCACCCTACAGGACTCAAAATCGGCCGTGCTGTGCTTTCACAAATTCAGGTTGGATTAACGAGGCCTGGACAGACTCTACCACTCAACTTAGCAGGGGAGTAAAAGGCAGGGTTTTGTTTTGGAAGGTACCATTGTAGTGCCACAGGAGGAATCCGCTCCAGCACCCCCTCATCCTGGTACATTCCGTACTTCCTAACCACAGCTGAGACTCGTACCCCTGTCGTTGCCCTCACACACACCCCATTTGGTTTACATCTCTGTCAAAGTGACAGTTTTCCTCTGCAGTTCATGAGGTCAGCTTTGTGTCCCATTCTGCCATTTTTTGCAGATTTTATAGTATGCATTTAATTATGCATTCAAGTAAGAATTAAACAGGTTAAGGCAATGCAAATAATGCAAAAGCTTACGATACTGTGCATCAGTTTCTTGTGATTTTTTTCCAGTTTGCAAAGTTGGGTTAATGACAAAAAAAAAATCCTTCTGACGATGAGACGCACAGCTACAGTACCTGAAACTAATTTCAACACAGATCCATCAAAATGGTGACTCGCACTGGCGGACCTGTAAACCAGCACAAATCTGCAACTATGTGGTGTCAGTCACTCATTTCAAAGAGGAATAAATCCACATTGTGCTTGTAACTCCCCTGATCGATGACTGAAGAACTGCTGTCTGACTCGGTCAATTTACCAACCACAATAAGTGACCGTCTTGCACAGAATGTACCATTACATACAGCTTTGGGCCATAACAATGAAATTTCTTTTCTTCCAATAAATAGGCTTAGGATAATGGTACTATTCTTTATCTGCATTCCCATTCCAGGGATCGGATTCCTCACACATGGACGGCTTGGTCAGGAGGTATGCGGCAGGTTGAAAGCCACACTATACCACAATTCCTAGGTTTTAGAAACTATTGAGGCTTTGACTTAAGAAAACAAGCAAATAACGTACTGAATAAATTATATAAAGACAGGAGCAATATGGTACGCACAGACATATATACATAGAAAGCTCAAGCATACCCGCTTTAAATCTAGCAACAGTACACTCAGACCAGTCAGGTGTGGCCCCTGGAATCAGTCACATGTCCTGAGTGGATGTGGTAGCATATGTATAGCTATTGCGGGCACTGCTCACAAACACCATCAAACGCAAATCCCCGGGCCAGCCTCGCTGTGCCAGGCACCTCTGGATGTCACAGGTGAACATCCGAGTTCAGATGGAGGACAGGTCAAAGGTCTGCGAGGGTGCGGAAGAGCTGGGTGAGGCAGAAGATGGAGGCGGTGAGCGTGGTGCACTGCCGAGCTAAAAGCTTGATGACGATGTCGTGGCAGCTCTTCCGGCCGCTGGCCCGCTCCGCTAGCTGGGCGAACTCCTCGTAAGTCCTGGTGATGTCCGTCAGGCTGCGCAGGACCTCGGCGTGGCGCCTCTGGCAAAAGCTGCAGCTGGAGAACCAGAGGCAGACGCTGGCCAGCTGCACGAGGGTACGGAAGCTCTCGGCCAAGGCCAGCAGCATCTCCTCGGGGGTCTGGCCCACCCGGATGACCCGCTGGCACAGTGACATCAGCTTGCGCGCCTCGGCACGGAGCAGCCGTTTGTCCTCGGAAAAGTGCAACGCACACGTCTCCTGGTGATGGTAACCTCGATCTAGTTGTGCCTCCTTCAGTAGGGTCAATAGCACCACCAAGTCCTGCTGCAATGAGAGGAACCCATCAGGGGTCCGGTAACGGCGGTTTCGCAACTGGTTAAGGATGTCCTCCAGTGGAGCCGTCAAGGGATTCAGATCCGTGGAAGGTGGAGGAGCTGACCACGAGAACGGTGGGGTGTCTATTAGGGGCGCCCCTTCCATTCCTTGTGTTCGACAAGAGAATTCGTAAACCGTCAAGTCCCCATCAAATTTGTTCTTGTCCAGCACACTGTTGAAGCAATTGGTGTAAATGGCTTGGCAGCCACAAGACACTTGCGCCTGGTGCTCCTCCACCATGGAGGGACACCCCAACACAGATGCTGGACTGCAATCCAAGGCATCCTTCTCCTGGGGGCAGGAATGGACATATGACTCGGGCCCCATGGAGTCACATAGCTCAGTAACCTCAGGGGTTGGGTCAGTGTCCTGAGCTAGTACTTTCCCAGGTGACCCATCTCCTGACGGCACTGTAGGTTCTGTACAGTGAAAGACAGTGAGTGGAGCTTCTGTTTCAAGAAAAGCTCTGTTTGAAAAACACAAGTCCGAATTCCAGTCATCCAAATGATCTGCATTGATACAGTTCACCAGCTCTGTAACTATGGTGTTATCTGCATCTCCATCTGTGTATTCCAAGCCTGTAACTCCCTCCAGCCCAATGGCCTCTACCTCTGCGGCGTTGTGGCCAGGAGCCTCTTGGGACCTGGACAGGAGCCATGGCAGCATCTGGATCTTACCCCGCAGAGTAGTAGTGGACAAACGGCTGACTAACCCTGTGGTGCAGCCATGAAGATTGAAAGGCTCCAGGGGAATGACTCCAGTCTCCTTGAGAGCAATGGAAGTGGGACCAACAGCCTCCTCAGTCGTTATATCCAGAAGACTCTCAAAGCTATGAGAGAAACTTGTTTGAATGGCTAGGGCCAGGCTTCCACTGCGATCCTGTGCGGTGAAGTGAACGTCTGTATCAAGGTCATCATTACTTGACTCCTCCCCCTCTTCAACTATAGGCATGTGAAACGTAGATGTTTCTGTGTCTAGTGAGGGTACAGGACACAGTGGCTGGACCAGAGGAACCTCAGATACCGGACTTAGCTGCAGGATATCTCCTCCTCTGCTCAAGTGAGAAAGTCCATCTGTTTTTTGCACCTGTGCTTCTCCGGTGACGGTGGTGATGCCATTTTCTTCTATCCTGCCTTTGACTGTTGTAGAGATGCTAGATGAGTCCTTACAGCAGTTGGCTTCCCCATCTTTCTCCAAGAGGAACATGTGATGTGGGAATGGTGCATCATCATGGCTCGTGGCACAGTCCCCAATCTCAGGCTGTTTGCAACTCTCCTTGCCCTCCGGACCGAGACGGCAACGCACTGCCAGGATGACGGGGGAAGCTGCAGTGATTAGCTCCGTCACCGACTTGAACTCCATGGTATCTGGCTCCATCTCTAATAGGCTTGAGGACAGTTGCTTGTTCTTGGTCACTTTCTCTTGGCCATAGCTGCCCCAGGAGGCAGAGGAAGGGATGGGTTTGGACTCCAACTGGGCAGAATCCCCCTCCTCACTGGTCAAGGAGGAGAAGGTGAGGCAAAAGTTTTGGGCGGGCGGTTTGGTGTGGAAACAACAAACCATGTCCTCATCTCTGGATTCCCTATCATGACTGGGGAAGGACACCTGGGAGGTATACTCAGAAGCCACGAAGGAGCGACGCTTGCGGGATTTTGTCCCGGGCCTCGAGACCATCTCTTGTTCCTTATCCATCAGCGATTCTGGCACAGCAAAGCCAACGTTAGTCAGACTTGACATCCTTGATTTTCCATCTATTAACATGAAAAAAGACAGCCTTTCAGTTAGCATTTCGTCATGGTAGTATTTCCATGAGTCATTACCCAAAAAGAAGACATGATGGACTATGTCAGATTAGCCAAAATTCACCAATTAAGAGAACAATATTGGTTCATATAAACAATTTCTAAAAAATATGTGAGAACATAGGAAGCAAATTGTAAGAAGCAGTTGAAAATAATATTGCACTTGTGGTTACACTGATACAGACCTGTGGTCAGCTCTCTGCCGTAGGTAAACTCGGGTGAACTTAATCTGTCACGTGCATCAAAAAATTCTTCCTCCGAGCTGCTGTCTTCAAAGCCGGGCGGTGGGTGAAAGATGGGCAGGGGCTCCGGGTTCAGAGGCATGTACTGTCCCCTCTCCAAGGGGTGCTCACGCACCGATTTGGGCAAGCTGCAGGCACTGTCGGGGGTGACGTTGCAGCAGATGTTATAATAGGGCCGGGCGTCTTTCTCCTCGAAGGTGAACATGCACTCCTCTTCCTCACTCGCTTCCGGGGGGCTGGGGAGCCATTGAGCCATGCGGGAGAGCTCGGCAAAGCGCAACGTTGGGTCGGCGATGTTACAGCCGTCAGCCAGGTGCGAGTCGGTGGCGCAGCCAGCAGCTTCCTGACCCCCGCCTGGATCGTGTTGTGCAGGTGGGCTTGACGAGTACGGGTAGGAAGCCTCCAGGTCTGTGGGGTGGCTGGAGGAACAGGTGACGAAGTCGTCTTCTTCTAGGGCATCCATGGAGTCGCTAGAGCAGCTGCTGACGAACCGCGAATCGGAGCAGCAGGAGTCGCCGACCTCGGATGCCCCCTCCTCACCAGTGTCTCCATCACCCTTCTGCTCCTCAGCTACCCCCCTCTCGCCTTCCTCTCCTGCCCCCACCTCCTCTCCTCCTCCCCTTCCCATCTTCCTCTTCCTCTGCTTCTCCCCCGCCGGTAAGCATGTGGCAGCCAACCCAGTGGAGAGGTGGGGGCTGACCAGAGAGATGAAGGTGTCCAGCTCAGAAGACTCCTCCGAGTCACTGCAGCCCCGTGACACGTACCCTGAACAAACAGATGCTGTTAAAGATGCCGTGAATCACGCTAAACACTTACAACATAGACGATTAGCATTTCCTTGACTAGAATGTATCTTATAGTACTAATATAGCGCCCCCATGGCTTCAAAATGTACTTAACATCTAAGAAGAAAGTTAAACAAAGTAATTCAAACCAGTAACACCATGAGTACAAACTACATACAAGTCAGCCCTCCTTGTCCGCCAGGGATTGGTTCCTGGACCCCCCCACGGATTCCAAAATCCATACGGAGGGCCGACTGTAGTTACCAGCCAGCCAAACTCGAGCTTGTTCACTCTCCTCTGCCGGCACTCCCCATCCTACAATGCTCCCCTAACTCCTCACCTTCCTCAGCCGAAATGCGATGCTCCTTCACCTGCTCCGTCCAGGGGAACACAGTCAGCGTTGGGTCCACGAGCAGCTTGCAGTACCCCGCTACCAGGCAGGACAGGTCTTTGGCAGCCTGGCACTCCAGCATGAGGGTAATGGGCTCAAGACGGAAAAGAAGCCATTGCATACCGGACTGTAAACGCCAATTGTGACTACAATTTGCCAGATAATCATAGATAAAAAGTGTCTTTTAGCAAGTTGTGGAACATAGTTACCATATACACAAAAAGCTTTGTTGTTCCTACTCTATATATCAACTAAATAATAAATTGGTTTAAAACCAGAGGTGGAAAGTTCAGGTTCAGAAAGTGAAAATCCAGACCAAGATTTTGTTTCAACACACTAGCAGAGTACTCTGTGAATATGACTCTGTATACTCAACTGGTCGGTTGAAACAAATTCTTGGTCTGGATTTTAAATTTCTGAACCTGAACTTTCCATATTCCATATTCCCATTTAAAACCAAAAATGAATGTTGCCAGGGGTGGGTAAATATCTGGGGAAATCCATGATCCATGAATCGGGTGAAATGATTTCTTAGTTTGCTAGGTTAACCTAAGCTAGAAGTCATAATTGTCCAATAAGAGTGTAGGTAAGGAGCATTACAGTTGGACAATCATGCCTTCTATCTTAAATTAACCCAGCTTTGTGGAACACCCCCAGACTTTCTCAGTCAGCTGGATAACTTAAGTCAAATGTGAAACCTTTTCCTCCTATTGGACAGTTAACTGACATTCCTATTGGACAATCCTTACATTTGGCTTAAGTTATCCGGCTAATGAAGAGATCCTGCTTTGTGGAATATCCCCCTGGTATGCACTCATTAACAGGTAAACGAACAAATCTGCACTCATCATTCATGCTTTTTGGGCAGTCAGGGAGACAGAGGTGATCCTACATCGATGCATATGAAGATGAGCCAGGTCGCACCTTGATCTCCTGCAGGTAGATCTTTATCAGGCTGACCTTGTCGGACTCGGGCAGCAGCTCCAGGCGGCTGATGCTGCCGAACTCACTCAGCCTGGTCATGATGCTGTGCTTGTGGTTGATCACCTGGCTAATTCCATACTTAGCCCCCACCAGCAGGGTCACCGTGGAGTCCCTGTCCTGGAGCTGAGGACACATGGACAGGGGGAGGTCCGTGGAGCAGAACCGGACCTGCTAACTCTCTCAGCGGAGCATCAAGCCTCTTTTTGCTGGACCAATTTAAGGACTTTTGGTCTTTCCGATTACCTCTGTTCTTAAGTAAAACTCTAATTTAAAAATGAATTATATACGTGACACAGGCTGTATACATGAAATCATAAATCAACTGCCAGTAAAACCTACAATGCACAATGCATTGCTCATCATTAGTCATATCCACTGGGTTCTCCCAGTCGTGGAACTCTCTTCTCAGGATGTGTTCATTTTCTTCATTTATCGCCAAAAACTCGGCTATGCTGCAGTTAAAACAGAAGTACCTTAAATTGTTTTCCTTGCTTTGGTTATTAAGGTATTTTGTGCAGCTTTAAGAGCTTCCTTAAAACTTAAATAGTTAAGTGAACATTTTAAGGAAATCTTAAGGAGAAGACTTAAGAGTGTTTTGTGCAACTGATTTCATGGAAACTTTAACTCGGACTTTAAGGAAAATCTTAAGGTGTTTTGTGCAACTGGCCCTACCTTTTCAGTGCCTCTAGGCAAAGCTTTACCAAAAAAAAAAACCTGACGATCTCACTTCCTCCACTGCAGGTAATTTGGGGAGCCCTATTCTGGCTATAAGAGTCGGCCCTGCTTGTAAGGCTGCAGGTTGTGCACGGAGACTATCACTAAGGCCTTGAATTATTTCAGCATCTTCTATGACGTATGGTACTGTCCAAGAGTCTTTGGCAGTCAAACAAAATGTTCCTGAGTCTATTTCTGTACCTTAAAAGGTACAATTACCTACAGCTAAGGGTACAATTGGCAGACCCTTGAGGGTACAGGCCCAATGACAAGCAAAGGTACAAATTTGACCCTTTTTTCTGTGGGTGTAGGTGAACACCGCTTCTGTTCCCAAACACCCACCTCAGCCACTCCATGTGTTTTTTTCATTTAACTTAGTCAAATAACTTGATGTGATATTGAATCAGCCACCAACACAACACTGTCATGTCTCCGTGTGGCCTGTCCTACCATCATGGTGGCTGTGAAGGATTTCGCCCCGAAGCACTTCAGCTCCGCCAGCTCCCTCAGGTAGCTCAACCGCGCCTCAGTCACCAACGAAACCTGTCGAGAGCAAGCGGCAGAAATGACTCCTGGGAAAGAGTACAGAGGAAGTCACCGCCCAGCTAGAGCGGGATGGTAGATGCCATCTCTGCCCAAGACCTTATGCCTGGGTTCCTGGGTCTGGCTCTTCTTCAGGTTGTAGCTCAAGGCCTTCAGTAGGTCCTTCTCCTTCATGTTCTTCAGCAGAGTCGGAGAGACGAGGTTCTCGATGCCCCAGCTCTTCCTACGACGGAAAGAGAAAGCCAAATAACTAAAGTGAGATCCCAACTCCCAACTGCGTCGCTGCTCTGCTCATCCTGCGATCACATTCAGTCGGCAATGCGTGTAGCACTAGAACCTCTTGTGGAGAGATGGATGTTCGTTAAGCACATTCTGTACAGATGGTGGACAAAACCGGACGCAGTTTGAAGACGTGCCACCCAGGGTGCAGGAATCCTGGTGGCAGGGATGGTGCAGTGCAGCTAAGCTAAGCTGGCACCGCTCTCGCTCTGTGAGACCTGCCAACTCACACCGGAGGCAGAAACTGCTTCTCCAGAACAAACGCTAAACCGCAAATGCGTGTCCCATTAAAGGCTCTCCGGGACTGAGGGTGCATTCACTGGGGGAAGGAGAAAATGATGGGATATTTTATCGGCGAAAACACCCATTTGCGAACGACAGCTCCCAAATGGGAATGCGGGCCGCATTATTTGATGCAGACAATTGCTATCACAGCGATGTACCGTGCTGCAGCGATTCTGCCGCCTAATGGAAGGGGCAGTTCCAAGCCGTACCAGAAGGAGGCGCCACACACCATCAGTGACCCACACGCACATCTGTCTAAGGAAGGGTGCAGCTTACACTGTCTCCAGCAGGGGGCTCCCTAACAGGCTTCACAGCACTCCACCTTTCTCGTCTGACCTGAACGAGTGGGTTTTGCAGGACTATCTGTCCTTACTCTTCTCCAGCCCGATCCATCATGGCCTACAAGCCCAAGAGGTCTTCCTTCCATTTACATTTGCAAACACGGATTGCTGGGGGCCAGGCCGTCTGTTGCAACAGTCCATCTCTTTCCTTGTTCACAAGATAATACAGTATATACGTATCCTCGAGGTGTGCTTAGGCTCATTATCTTGTTGAAAAACAAATGATTTTCAATCGGTGCATCCAGATTTTTGACTAAACGTGCAAGTTTACCGTCTTGGTCTAATGCGCATCAGTAGATAATCATCCATGTGTGTCAGTTTCTGTGTGGGGCTGTGCTGATCACTTGACACCCTTGAGCGACGCCTTCTGCATCTGCCTGCCTGCATGCCCCACCCTCCTACCCCCCCTTCCGCCCCGGCTGCTCACGTGACACTCTTGAGCGATGCCTTCGGCGTCTGCCCGCAGCTGAGCAGCCTCTCCCGCACGTGCAGCGCAGCCAGCCGCAGGGCCATGCTGCATTTCATCTCCACGGCAAAGCGCTCCTGCAGCACGTCAGCGACGCTCTGGGGGCGGGGGGGGGGGGGGAGCGCAGGGCTGCATGGTCACACGAGGATGTCCTTCGTGAAGGCACACGCCGTCACACGGCTCGTTCGAGGGACCCACCTGCAGGTAGAGGTACTCGAAGGCCACCGGGTCCTCCTGCAGCATATCCAGGGGGTCCCTGGGCGTGAAGCAGACCCGGAACAGGCAGCGGTAGTCATGGGCCTCCCTCTTCTGCACCACCTGCCGTGTGGCGACAGTCACCGGCGGAGGAGTGCGGTCCGTGAAGAGATGGTTACGCGTGAGAAACATGGGAGAGGCAGGAAGGGAGAGCCAGGTGACAAGTAAGTGTGAGTGGGGGGGTGACAGCAAGCGTGTGCACATGTGCAGGTGAGAGAGAGAGAGAGACAGAGTATGAGTACGAGTGGGGAGTGAGAGCAAGTATGTGGGTGTGTGTATGAGAGAGGCACAAGCAAACAGAGAGAGACTGAGAGAGACAGAGAGTGGTGGGTGCAAGTGTGTGTGTGTGTGTGTGTGTGTGTGTGGATTATGTTTATATTAAATTGTGGGGACCAAATGTTCCCCACAATGTAATAAAAACCTGTTGTGGGGACCATTTTTTAGGTTCCCACCAAGATCTGTGAATGCAATCAAAAAACTAAAAATTTGTTTAGTTACTTATGATCACGGTTAGGACTGGGTTAGGGCTTTAGGGTGTCATTTTAGGATTAGAGTTTCCCCTATAGAAATGAATGGAGAGTCCCCACAAAGATATAATTAAAAAACTGTGTGTGTGAGTGAGTGAGAGAGAAAGAGAGACAGCCTAGTTCATACTTCACCTTTTGGCGTGCCTCTCGTTTACGTACTACATTTGTCTGCAGAAGACAGTCGGTGCAATGTGTACCTTCTGGCCAGCAGAGGGCAGATGTATTGAAACAATGTGAAGTATGTAAACTTTATTTTAAAGTTGAACTAGCAATACAGCACACTGCCCTACTTTGAAATATTGCCTGTAAAATTAGTTACCCACCCCCCAGAATTTCAATCACCCAGATTTTAAAAAGTCGGATAAGTGTTGCTTTTGAAAACAGCGTATACCAGGGTGTAATGTATGTGTGATATGAAAAATTATATGATGCACCTCATCATATAGCAGCTCACCATATCTACAACTACAACAAGGGCAATTCCCTTTTTTCATTGACCGCTGCTCTGTAAAAATCAGCACTGCCACCTACTGGAAACTCCTAGTCAAATTCCTTGCACATGTGCAGCTTTATGTCCACTGGGCATAAAAATCTGGCCGAAATTAACATCGCTCACCCTGCGTGTGGACTATAGTGCCACCTAGAGAAGTGAAGTATGAATTACCGATAGAGAGAGAGAGAGAGAGAGAGAGAGAGAGAGAGAGAGCACACCACCAGCACGGAGCCCCCACCTGCTCGACAAGCTCATCGTCGTGCAGCAGGAGCAGCTTGGTGACGCTGTACTGCTGCTCCAGCACCAGGGTGAAGTACTCAATGCAGAGAATGGACAGCTTCTCCTTCAGGGTCAGCACAATGTCCTGCCATGGAGAAACACAGACATCACATGGTGCCTCCATTAGGCCCAACACACTGGTATCAGGCACATTATTTGCTGCTCTTGATCGCTTGCTTTGTTCTTGATCGCTTGCTTTGTTCTTGATCGCTTGCTTTGNTCTTGATCGCTTGCTTTGTTCTTGATCGCTTGCTTTGTTCTTGATCGCTTGCTTTGTTCGTTCTTGATCGCTTGCTTTGTTCGTTCTTGATCGCTTGCTTTGTTCGTTCTTGATCGCTTGCTTTGTTCGTTCTTGATCGCTTGCTTTGTTCTTGATCGCTTGCTTTGTTCTTGATCGCTTGCTTTGTTCTTGATCGCTTGCTTTGTTCTTGATCGCTTGGTTCAAGTGTTCTGGGAGCTGGGAGGGAGCAAAAATGTGGACTGTCTGCGGGTCCCCAGAGACTGGGTTGAGAAACACTGTGCTAGACCATCTGGCTTATCACATGGTACGGAGTTCCCAGCTTCCCCTGAGAGACTCAGGTGCTGGTCTTTTGGCGATGTGCCTTCGAGTGAGACAGCTTCCCGATACTGCTGCACATTAAGGAGGAAGACGGGGGCGGGGCAAACGGTGATTACCTTCACAGTGGTTTTACTGTCAAACTTGAAGGCCTTGGTCTGGCCATTCTCCAGGTAGACCTTCAGCACGTTTGGCAGGAAGAGCAGCGAGTTTCCCTGTGGGAAGCAGGAAATTAAGTAAAACTTACAGCAAAAATTAACAAAACACACTATCGCACAACGACGAATTCTTCTCATATCAGGAAATAATCCCAAAGCTGGACGAAATTTCCCAGAGCAGATTGTAGGGCATCATGAAATGTCTCTGTGTAAAAGATGCTTTGAAAAATGAAAGCAAGTACAGAAGGGATAAGATAAGAGGGACAACAAATGGCTATTCATCTGACAGCACTCTGATGGGGGGGGGGTCATTTTGAAGAAACCAGGGACTTATTTAAGCGTTTTAGAGATTTTTCCCCATTCGGACATAGTCAGCCTTCTGGTATAATTGCTTTTTAATCTCTGCTCTGGTCTTCTGCGCCTCTGAGACCTTTCAAAGGTGCAGAGGTGCAGCGACAGGACAGGCAAAGCTGACAAACGGCTGGGGACACGAGCTGCAGCGACGAAATCAGCTTCATTTCCGCATTCTGTTTTTCACAAAAAGGAAAATAAAGGACTGTTTATTAAATACTCTTTCTTAATATAATAAATTTAGACTTCATGCTAAAATAATGGTCATAAAATTGCAGCATGTTGGGGAGGGTGAGTGGGGGGAGTATTTTTGGAGTATTTATGGAGTATTTTTTACTTAGGGCAGCTCAGAGTCCCTAGAATAGCCTCTGCAAGGGGATGTGGGAGGTAATAACGTGTAGGGCTCTATCGCTCTCTCACACACACACACACACACACACACACACACACACACACACACACACTTGTGTTCATATCTTTGTGGCGACTCCATTCATTTCTATGGTCAAAACCCTAATCTCAACAATACAACCTTACCCCCTACCCAGCCCTAACCATAACCATAAGTAACCAACCAAAATACAAAATACAAAATGTCAAAATACTTTTGACATTTTCAGTTTTTTGATTGCAGTCACAGTTTTTTTTATATATTAAGTTTCCCCTTGTGGGGACCAAAAAATGGTCCCTGCAATGCCAATAACAGGTATTTATCACATCGTGGGGACATTTGGTCATAACCCACACACACACAGACATTCCTGTCATGCTGAAGTTCTGCTATATACTGCCGTGACCCAGTCACCACCTACGGGAACATCTCAGGCTTGTGCAGAATCAGGCTGACTTAAGCTACACCTATCTGGCACTATAACAGCTTACGGTGCTCGGATGACAACAGCGTGAGCTCTGCACTGTCTAACTGTACCCGCCGAATGCTTCTGGAACCTTCCCGTCTTGGGGTTTAGTTAACTCTAAGCCAACCTGGACTCGCTTGGAAATGTTGGTTACTGAAGCTGGTGAGTAATGAGTCCTCAAGGTCCGAGCCCTGCTGGTTTTCCAGCCTTCCGTTACCCGTGAGCCAGGTGTGAAGCCTCTGGCCAATCAGAATCAGTAATTATTACACCAACTACCCGGGAGAACTGAAAACACGGCCTGGATTTGGAATCGAGAGCCGGGTATGAAGAGCCTGGTTATAGATGGATCATCCCATGAGTATCAAGAACCTCAAAGCTCCCTCTTTCATGGTCATTTCTAGGACATTTTTATGGTGGGGGGCATAAGATGGGCATTATTCATACAGTGGGCCCAACCCTATCATTAGCCAATGATATATTTTGAATCAGTGAGTGACAGAGGAAGAGTTGCTCCAGGAGCCAATCAGCTTTCAGCATGGGTCAGTTCCCCCTATGGCCCTGCCCCTTTATACACCCATGCCCTAATTTAAGCTGTATCCCAGCTTTGCTGGATGTCTGACTTTGGCAAGGAAAGCAAGCTTCTTTCAACAGGTACACGTGCTCAAAAGCACCCCGGAGACCACTCGGGTGCCCCAAGGATGGAGCAAGTTTGCCCGCGGGCAGATTCGGACCTGACAGTGTCCGTTGACCACCACTTCCTCCGCGAAGTGCACCTTCACCGGGTTGGTCTTCAGACGCGCCCTCTTCTCCTCCGTGATGAAGGATGACTTCGGTCCCTGTCCCAAGAGAAATGTGTCACGCCCCCAGTGTGTATAATCATGCAAAACAAATCACCGAGCCTGGTCAATGTTTGACAAGGAGACCTGAGAGTCTGTCCTTGTAGCATCTGCATAATTATTTCACTCATTCATCATGGAGACACATAGAAATATTACCCCGATCAGGGGTAAAACATACAGTATAACTTTATACCAGTTTTCTGCAGGCATTTCATAGAAAGAACAGATTTCCTGAAGCCAATGAGCATCATTGTGTGACACAGAAAGTGGCTGGTGCACCGGATGCGGCTGCGGAGGAGATTCCGCGGAAACTCACCAGGGTGTGGCGGAGGATGGTCACAGTCACTGCCGCACGTGACTCCCTGAGGGGAGGGATGCAGCCAAAGTGAAGGCATGTGATTGGAGGATGCTGATGACGGACAGGGACTGTGGTTCATGGTTAGCACATGACTCAGTATGGGCGTGCGGCGAAACTGACAGCTCATCTAAATGTGATAACCTGAAATTGGAGCGCCCCCTAGTGGGGGTCCCCGTCCTACCTGTATGTGTAAGCCGGCTACCAGACTAAACCCGTAATACGCTATTAGTAGATGCGTGATTAGGTCAGGGATGCCCACTCTCACGCGTCTGGTGTGACACTCATGCTTTTAGACTCTCGACACTCATGCAAGAAACCTTACAGCAAATCTATATTATTCCATTATAAACGTAAAATTACTTACATCAAAAGCACTGGGGTAGTTTGCAAACCCTACAGACTGTTTACAAGGTAATAAAACTGTTACATGTAAATGCGTGTGTAAACTTGTCTTGTCTTGTCAACCCTGTTTGGGTGCTAACACTAAGCATTACAGTCAGCCCATTGGCCAGCAAACAGCACATGTGACGTATTGGACCGAACCAAAAGCACCAGGCGGGGGGTGTCACACAGCACCTAAGGATGTCAGCCGCCTGCACTGCAGACAGGTCCTCCGTGGAGACGTTGTTGATCCGCAGCACCTGGTCACCAGGAACAAGCCTCCCCTCAGCCGGTCCCCCTGAGACGCAGAAACAGTCAAGCTCAGAGTGAAGGCGAGCTACTGTCCCTCACACACACACACACACACACGTCGGGTAAACATATCTTTATGGGGACTGCTCATTCATTCTATAGGAAAAATGCTAATGCTAACTATGATAACCTTAACACCTACCCAGCCCTAACCATAACACAAGTGTTTTTGCATTTTTAGTTTTTTCACTGCAGTCACAGATTTTTATTAAACCGAGTTTTTCCATATATGTCCCAATAAGGTAAGGTATACCCCCACACACACACACACACACACACACACACACACAGGAGGTGACACCTCTCCTATTTATAATCACATGCCAACAAACCAGCGGCTTCCGGCAAATTCACGCTGCATACGGCGCATTTCAAAAGCAGAATGCATAGGTGTCAAGTCTCGGTTTATCCAAGACGCTCACGTCTCTTTAATGGCGGCAGCCATCTCATGTAAGATGTGAATCTCACGGGATGCCATGCATTCAAATCACACAAAATGTCAACGTGAAAGAAGCATCCGTCGACTCCCCTCTCCGGTCAGCAAGTTTTAGGAGACCGTTGGGTCACGATTCACTCCAGCTACGAATGAGAATAAAATCTAAACCTTGACATTTAAGGCCCGATCACAACAAAAAAACCCTGCCATAATCATTTAAAAAATACTCATTTAAATAACCCTAGATGCAAAAGTCTGCCCTAAAGCAGTGTCTCCACCTAGTGTTCGGGAACCTGCAGGCAGTCCATCCCAATGAATCAAGAACACCGGGAGCTTGGAGGAAGTAAAAATGTGGACTGGGGTTTGAGGAGACACGACCACTCCTTTTACAACCATCACAAGGCCCAGGATGACATCATCAGGTAAGCGACGGCTAGGACCCACGACAAAGGACCCGCATCCATCCTCTGCCAAGAAGGAAACGTGAGTCCAATGTTCTTTTGGGTTCCGGAAAGGGCAGAGGGGCGGTGGAGGCGGCTCAGCGCCGAGCCGCGTTTCTAAATTCTATCAGAACGGTCGGATTCCTCCTGAGACGGTTCCGGTGGCCGTCCGAGCAGAAACGATCTGGCTCTGCCTGTGCCAGAGACCGTGTCCCAGTGCCAGGATCCCAGTGATACTGGTTTGGATACACGTCCCCCACATTCGCCTGCCAAAGGAGACTAGTGGGGGGACAAACAGATCGGCCATCCCCCCCCCCTTCAGTTGGGGCAGTGTGTTGCTGTGCCCACCCCCCCAACCCTGGCAGCCAGGTTCCTAACGCATGCCCTGCCCCCCCCCCAGTGAACATGGATCCCTCCCAAAGTCGCACACATACAGCCCAAACATATGACCGCTTCGTGGACGGGATCTGTCTTGACATGGAGCTGGCAGCGGGAAGGCTTTGAGGAGAAGACCCCAAGGCCAACCCACGGCAGAGGAGATCCATTGTGGGGGTACCTGCCGTCACCTCCTGCACCAGCAGTGGCATCTGGGTGGACAGGCTGAACCCGTGGGAGCCCAGCACAGGGTCTCGTGCGACCTGCAGCATCACGCGGATGGGGCGGCTCCTCGGGTCAGCGCCGGCGGGATCCCCAGACGCGCCATCGCCCAGAATCCGCTCCCTGGGATGGGCAGGGGGAGCCAAGAAAACCTTCTACTAGCCAATACGAGTGCGAATAAGGAGTATGTTTAAGTCACATATGGATGGCAGACAGCGACTAGTCGCAGTTCATCACACGTTCATCCGGACAGTTCCTCGAGGACAGCCTCCCACGTGCACAGGTGGCCGGGGGTGACTCACCTGCTGCCGGACTCCCGGCTACGCCGGAGCCATCGGCCAACCACCTGCTCCACGCGGCTGGTCCTGCGAGATGGAGATCTGCTTCTCTCCGCCGGGTCCATCTAGCTGCGGAAAACAGGGGGGGATCCACACACAGGGGTCAGACGTTCTCGGGCAACCACATCCTCAGGCCTGCTCTTCTCACTGCAACAGGAGAGCCCCCGACTGTGGAGACGAGCGGAGAACGACGGCTGGTCGTTATCTCCTTAAAGCAGCGTGTTTATCGTGGAAAAAACACTACAACCTCACCCGAAAACAGCCAGCCTTGGATTCTCGCACAGGCCAACTGGGAAAGAGTGGAACAAAGCCCATATACTGTATCGTCTGAACCACTTCACCCCAGAATAATTCGTTAAAAGCCTGCAGCACTAACAGGTATCACCGGGCCCCACGTGGTACCTCAAAGCCCTGGGAGAATCCTTGCCCAGCTTACAACTGCAGAAATGCAGTGTGATAACCATAATAATGGATTACATTTATGGAGTGCTTTCTAGTGACCTCAGCGCTCAGCCTCCACCAGCGCGCAGCAAGGGTCTGGGGCGAGACACGACGGCCATTTTGTACCAGAACGCGGTAACAGACGCTTCACCCGGCCAACAGAGCGCACAATGTGGAGATGGGACCCTGATTCCTCTCATAGCGACGGTGAAAAATGCCCTATAGCTTCTTCAAAGCCGTGACAGCTTAAAGTGAGGGTGACTCAGGACCTCAGTGCATCATTTCCCTGGTAAAGTACACTGGTACTTTATACTAAGCCAGTAGAAGGAATCATGCCCCCTATTGGCTGCTCATGGGAGTTTTACCTACACGAAAATGTTCAGAGGGCACAACGGAAAATGACTGGTTCAGAGAGATAACCAATCAGATTGCAGAGAAGGTGGGGTCCAAGCAACTAGAGGAGGCGGGACCATGACTTCTGATTGAGGGCAAGGAAGGTCATATGACCCGCAGCGACACCCACAGATTCCTTTATACAACTGTCACCCCAGCCTCAGAGATCAATAAAACAGATGATACGCATTGAAACCGCGCTCCCTGTGACCGGGTGAAACGCAGAGAACATACACACTCTATCTGTGGAGCGAGCCCGGATTCGTTATCTCATCAGAGGCTCCTGCCAGACTGAGTGGGTGGGGGGGCCCCAAGCTGGGCGCGGAAACATCCGGCAGGTGTGGAGCGCGACCTGCACTGCCACCGGCGTCCTCAGCGCGGCTCACGGGCCGAGCGAGTCGACCGGAAAGATGAGGTCATAAACCGCTCCGGTGGGGGGGATGTTTACGGAACGTCACACAGAGAGCCAGGACACTGGTGAGAGGCTGTGTATGACTGGCCATCCTCTGTCAGACAACATGCATTCATGGACAAGAAACCCACTCTCACTCTCTCTCTCTCTCACACACACACACACACACACACACAGAGAACAAGTACCTGTATCGTTGTGGGGACTCTCCATGAATTTTTATGGGAAAACCCTAATCCCAATGATTAGACCTTAATCATAAGTAACCAAACAATATACGAGACCTTTTGGCATTTTGAGTTTAATTGCATTCACGGATTTTTATAAAATCGAGTTTCCCCTTCTGGGGACTGAAAAAATGGTCCCCACAATGTCAAAATAAGGTTTTTCCTCAGGCTTTTATTTGGCCCCCACTATGTAACATACACATATCTCTCCCCCCCCCCCCCCCCCCCCCCCCCCCACTTATCTTCTGTGTGCATCTCAGAAGGCCACTTGGTTTCAGAGTGATTGGAAAGCTAAACTAAAAGGAAAACTAGCAAAATAGTTTTAAAGCAACCAGTGAATATAACATTCCGATGGCAGCCCTGCCGCTTTTACCGCCCCCCCGGATGCACATGCCGATGGGCGCTGTAGAAGGGGTTACTCACGGCTAAGGTCCCCCCCCCCCCCAAGTAAGCAGACCTCCAAAACCCTGCTATGTAACACTTCTGATCACACCTTAAGTCACAGCGCTGATAACACTCATAATCCTTTGGGCGCTATTGTCTTAAAACTAGCTATTTATACTTTTATGTTGTATTTATATATTTTTATACTTGTATTACTTTGTCCAAGGTCCAATGAGCGAACCTAAGTGTTAGCGCATCATTCCAATGCGTACACCTTCTATATCATTAATAAACTTCATCATAATCAGTGGCCACATTCATAAGACTATAGGAGTAAATATGCTTTGACAGCAGGGTTTTTAATTACGTTTAATAGGAAGCGAAAGCCGCTAAATACTTAGTGAAATTGATTCACGCTTCCTGTAATCCCCATAAAAAGCTTACATTCGCAGAACGCCTTTCCCCTCACGGAGTCACAAACGGCTACTGATAAGTACATGTGCAGTTGTCGCGCTATTTCCAGGCGTAGCGAGTTAATTTCAATTTAAATTAAATGAGAAGAGAGCGATCTCATAGTCACTACGCTCTTTCGCCATTTATAGAGACTCTACTGTTCCCCCGTCGAATCTCCCCCTGTTGTTGTTGTGGCCCGTAACGAGATTATCAGAGAAGGGGGTGGAATCCGATTTCCCGGCACGTCTGATCGGTCTGCCGTCGGGAAGGGGAGAAGCTGGCAGCGGAGGGCGCACCGAGGCGGGCCCTGGAGCCGCTAATGCAAGAGCCCATGCCAATAAACAGCGCTTCGTCCCACCGCCCCTGCGTCCACCCACTCACACCATGCCTCCTCCTTATTCCCTCTTTCTCTTTGTCACACAGTCAACCATTCAAGGAAAACCCTCCGCGTAAGTCCCCGGGGCTACGTTAATGGCGAAAATAAGATTAACGGGGAAATCACCGGCTGCGCTCCACCAAGGATTTCTGAGTTTTTTATAAAAGCCTCTCCAATATATTTCAGCCAGTGACGCCGGCGGGATTATATGACGGAGGAAAATAACTCATTGTCGTCTGGCTGTCATATTAGCGTCAGCAATAACTACGGCTTATCGGATGACGGGAGTCAGAGCAATGACACTTATTGTCATCTCCCCCCAACCCCCCGGGAAAGCTGGCGTGCGACAGTACAGAGCACAGAACCACAACGTGCGGACGAGCAACGCCACACCTTTCTGTCACTATGTTTGTTTTAATGGTATTAAACAAATGTGAATTTCATCATTTACCAAAATCAGGTAAAAAAAAAAAACATTTAGTAACATCGTATAGTTGTTTATTCGTTGAACTGTTGGTTTGTAGCAATGACGAGCGACTGCGCCGATTTGTCAGATATTTTTGGGATAAAAAGAGGTGTGGAAATCTGAGACAGATTCTGGATCAGCTGGGGCATCCTCCAACCCCCACTCTCTCTCTCTCCCTCCATCTCATTCTCCTTCTCTCACACACATTCTCAATTGCTCCTTCAGTCATACGCTCTCTCTGTCTTTCGTACACACACTGACTCACTCACAGTGGTGAGTACATGGGAATATAATGAGATTACACCTCTGTCCGTGGCCTGTAATGGCCTTGGTGCGTCTGCCCATTGATCCGGATCAGAGCGGTTGTTCTCCGTGTGGCAGCTGGCCGTCCTGAGCCCCCGAAGGTGGGAGGGGAGCCACCACGGCTGCACGGGTCCCGTCTCAAGCAGGTCTTCATCGACAGTGTCAGCGTCATCCCTGCCTGGCCAGCAGGTGTCGCTGGTCACCCCGTTTCTAGTATGTGATGCCATGATAATGATCCTCACCTGTGCCTTGCTGTTCCCAGCCCTAGCCTTTGATTGTAATTGGTCCACACCCATTCCTTGTCCTCCAGCATTGTCCTCTACCTTGTTGTCTTTACCTGCTTTGTTTTTGACCTCTCGTGGTCCTTTTGTTTCTAGTGTTTTGCTTTCTTTTCTTTCTCGAGTTTAATAAAATCCTACCCTTGTGTGCCACAACTCGGATCATCCGTCCTTCTTCACGCCCATCCGTAACAGACAGGAAGTCCATTATCGTTCACCGCAGGTTTCTTGATAATCTGTCTCTGTTATGAGCCAAAATGCTACACGACCCTCACCCCAACGCACAACAGCAAAGGGATTCGAACCCACAACCCTGGAGGTGCGAGGCCACCCTGGTCAGATTCAAATCGCCCTCAAATGCTCCTGTATACCGCACACGCAAGATTCAGCTCAGAGGTAATGATAATGCAACTATCGTATCTTTACAACATCATAAGATGACCGTGGGAAGTTATGGCGATGTAATGGGACATTGTTCCTCCAATCGGATGCTGCGGTCTGCTCTGGGACAATCAAGCCGTTAGCTGCGGTGCAGTTCGTTCGATGAAGAGTCTCCTCAGTGCAAAAGCACCAGCTGTAATTAGGCGATTTAGGCAAAGTGATGCCGTGGGCCTCTCAACATTAGCTCACTGCTTCCTGATGCGAGACCCAGTCATTAGAAATCCATTTGCAGGTCTTTGGACGGGGGAAGAGGCAGCCAATGCCCTGAACTCCCGCAGCGGTGGTCAGTCTGGGTCATACTTGGCTGGATCAAATCACAAATGCTAATTTGTGATTTGCGCATTTTCACGACATTACATTGTCTCAAAGCGCCCAGACAGCAAGCCAGAGGCGACAGTGGCAAGGAAAAACTCCCAGGAAGGAAGAAACCTTGAGAGGATCCAGACTCAAAGGGGGGGGGGGGGGCAGCAGAGGAAGTCAAATGAACAAAGTCACATTTTATAAAGTCCGGGTAAAAATACTATTTAATTTTTTTTTAATACTTAATCTTTTTTCCAAGATTCTGTTTGTGTACTGTGTACTTATTAATTTGTACGTGCTATGTTTACTCTTGAAGCAAATACTGTCTTTGCACCTTATCTGCTTGGCAGTGAATGTTTGTCGGTACTCTATGTACTTCCAGCTGTAAGCACAAGAATTTCCCTCTGGGATCAATAAAGTGCATCTAATTTAAATCTAATTTAATGATACACAAGCATCTGATAACACAATGAAAAACAGAGGAGATCTATGGTAATACTGCTGACTGGGTCTCATAACAAAAGTCTCTGAAGTCACTAAAATCTCCGCATTGTTTGCCATCTTTGAGATCAAGGAGTGTTAATAGATTGTTAATGGTCCGATTCTTTCCGGGGACAGCCTCCATATTCAGTACTTTGATAAAAACAGAGCCCCAGTGGTCATGTTTATACCCTTGAAGTTCTGTGCCCCCCCCCCCCCCCCAGGGGACGTGGCTTGAAAATATAAATCAACATTTGCATTCCCTCACAAAACTTAACTGCGAGGGAACACAAAACTGCTTAAAAACAATGTTTTCTAGAGAAACATCTAGTCCAATATTTGGAATGAGCAGCATCACACACGATTACACACACTCTGCTGGTGATGCCTAACATATGCATTGATTCAAGTTGTTGTAAGTGGGAAAAGCGAAACGCATAACGACTAGGCCACCAGATGCAGAAATCCCTTAAACAGCAGCCAACTTGACAAGCATTTACTCACCTCAATGCAGGCTTCTGGTTCAGGATGCCCAAACCACTCGGCGATGACATGGCGAATAAAGATGTCAGGTCTTCATTCTCAACCAATCACAACAGCCTGAAAGATGAGGGAGCGTCTCTGATCCATTACTACAGTGTCTATATCAATATCAGTCCCAACAAGAGTATCACAGGTATCCTATATTGATTAGACCTGAGCTGCATAACATATGGAACACGGCACTTAAAAAAAGGGATCAGTTTTTGCCTCTTCTAGTTTCCCTTTGCCCATATGTGTCCACGTGAGCATTTGTTTATATTCCCTGAAGGGATTGTAGACAGTCAACACTATTAAATCTGTCATCTCAGACTGTGAATGAATGCAGAGATCGACATCTCGGTCATGACTAAAAAGAGGCAGGTAGAGGAAACTGATCACGTGAGACAGATCTGGGCCCAGCCGTGGTCTTGTCTGGCCTGGCGCCCCCCCCACAACAATCTGGACACAACAAAACAACAGGCGACATCAGAGCCCAGATGCGTGATGGGGCACATGTGCCTACTGGCGTGTGAGGGTTCCATCTCTCTTTGATGAAAGCTTTGTTTTACGACGGTTTTCATTCAAAAAAGGGAACATGAAAGACCAGGCCGCCCGCTCCAGTGAAAGGCAGAGCCGTAACAGGGACGCGGACCTAGCGGAGTAAAAAAGCACTCAGTCAGAGCAGCGGCCTAAGCTATGAATATTTAATACCACACCTTCAAAGATAGGAGGAGGAAGCACTTGGGTTACCTCTGCACTCTCTATTCCCATCAGGGAATCATGGGACGGGAGGTGCAGGGAGACCTTGATTCTCTGGCCAAAGCAGCTATCAGATCCCTTACTTCTCCTCTTCCAGTGGAGGACTTTTATTGCGAAGCTTATCACAGGAGTAAAAATGTATAGTCCGTCCAGAGTGTTTGAGATCACAATTCATTACTATTGTCCTGCTATCCCAGCATCCTCCACTCATACTCGGGAGATGAACGCACATTGTCCTGCGGCAATAAAACACCGATGCACTGTAGCGACTCGTTAATTTACGACTTTAAAACTTGCTTGACTTTCTCGTTCTGGCTCACGGATCTAAACAAGTTTAAGGTTAATGTTTAGTTAGGTGGAAAGCAGACGACTAGAGCTCCGGTTGAAATGCTGGGTCGACACACTCATGTCTGTGAGGGGCCAAGGTAATATCGAGGCCTGTGGGAGCTATTGTACAACTGAGAAAGAGCTTTCTAGGCATTGATGGTAGGCAGGATTCACCCCTACCCTGCCGCCCACACACACACACACAGAGCCCAGACACCATGGCAGCTAATGCAGGCTGGATGGACCCTCAGAGATCAGGCTCCATCAATAATACATTCAGCTAATTCAGCAACGCCTCACACAACTTCCGAATACGGCACTCGCAACATGGAAATGGCAATGGGGGACTGAAAGAGGAAGAGGAGGAGGAGGAAGAGGAGAGTGTGAGGAGAGTCATATGTGTAAAAAAAAAACACTTTGGGAGCAAGAGGAGAGAATGTGGAAAAGGAGATGTGCATTGTGGCCTGGCAGGACGCAGGGAGGACAGGGATAATAATAGTGACAGAAAGTTGATCAATGTCAGCCTTGCTGGCGAATAAACAATAACCTTGCTGCTGCTCAACACTACAGCACTGCAAACGAGCCGTTTTGGAGTGGCCACCGTGAATGAGGTAGCCACCGTGAATGAGGTGGCCACCGTGAATGAGGTGATGTGCACAGGCTGTCATTGACGTGCGAGTGGCGTCAGGCTTAGAAGACTCATCATCTGTCTCATTGTAAATATAATACACACCAGCTTCAACTTCTCAGCTTACTGTTCAGCCGTGTTGGTGCTGGAGGAGTTAGAATGGAAGGTCCTTACACTGACTGCGGGGCAGGAGTTGGACCGAACAATCCAATTAGCAGATCTATTCGCGTCGGAGCCCCCGTGGTTCAGGAAACAGTTGGCGTCTAACAACACGGGAAGCAGCAGCCAGGCCTCGTTAACCTTACGGCTGTCATGACGCGCTCTGCTGCCAAGGGTGGAAACCCATCCGATCGCATAAAGCGAAGATCGCTCTTTCCCAGGACCCTAGAGCAAAGAGCAGAGCTCTACACACCTTCTGTTCTTCTTAATCTCACCCAGGTTCCAGATTGGGTCTATTATGTTGCTCCTGCTGTGAGAACAATCAGATCTGCTCAGTTCAGTGGAGATGTCATCGCCTTGAGTGTAATGCAGGCCAAAACTGATCACCCCTCTCACCCAAACAAGCAGTTATGGAGAGTGATATTTTAAGTACCTCACTGAACCGACACTGGGCGACTCAAGTCCTCTTAATGGGCCACTGAAGCAATGCAAGAAGAGCTTGTGTGCTTTTATAGCTCAACAAGCACACCACTGTGTTAACACTACAAAGGTTGTGGGTTCAAATCCCTGGGGATACAAAAATACTGCAAGTTGTTTTGCAGTACATGAAAGTACCATGTAAATGTTGTGTGAGCAGGACAGGGTGACTGTTCATCTTGGGAGGGAGAGTCAGATGACTGCATTTATGGGGGTTAATTTGGTCCACCTGCTCCTCATTCCCTGTGGGTATATAAATTGGCACTTTGTGGTGTTTTTGCCCACAGTAATGTGACCTGGAGTGTCGCTGTCCTGCTGAGAGGTCTTGCATGAAGAGAAGCACACCACTATCTGTGACCCGTATGGGAAAGCTGAACAGAAGTGGTCTGACAAGCCCAGATTGTAACTTTCATTAAAAAAAGACTTTCTTCCCTCACTGGTGTTTTCTTTTGGATTTTGTAAGATTTCATTACTCTTCATTATTCGCCTTCTTCATTATCTCTGACCTTGTGTTAAATGATTTTGGGCCAGTTCTGAAAGATTACTGTATAAACACAAACTGAGTTTTTTTTCACTGAATTGAAATGAGTCAAACATAATGAGTGACATATACTTATTATTTTAGAGGTATAACGTCAGTTCCAGACATTCTCCAGGTTTTATGAAATGCCAGAACTTTACAGTAATTCTGCTGAAGTCTGACATTTTTCCTCCCTCCCAACACACCTGTACCAGGAATTCAGTGTTCTTGATTTGCTGGGAGCTGCAAGGGAGTAAAAATGTGCTCTATCTGGGAAACATTGGTCCAGACATTGGCTGTGTCCCAATTCGGGGGCTGTGTCCTTCTAAGGTTGCATTTGAAGACTGAATCTGTCACAGTGGTGCGACAAGGCTGTCCCATTTCGAAGGCTCCCTCAAATGTCGCCTAGAAGGATCCACCTATCCCAGGATTCATTGCACGGATTTCTAGAAGGATCCAGCTTACAAAGGCTGGCTCTGAATTCAGGTGCCACGTCCTCCGAAGCATGTGGACTGCAGAGCCTTTGTAGGCTGTGTCTTTCGAAGGTCTGTGCAATGAATCTTGAGATACGTCGCCCTGCAAAGGATCCACTTGGTGGATGCTTCGCAACTCAACAAAAGGGACACAATCCTAGGCTACATTTGAAGTGGGACAGCTGTGTCGCACCACTGTGACGCACTCGGTCTTCGAATGCAGCCTCTGAAGGATGGGAGCCCCTGAATTCGAACACAGCCAAAGGCTACATAGACCGTGCTAAGAAGGGTGCAGCCCCCGAACTGGGACATGGCTAACGTGTCTGCAAGGTGCTGGACCTGCTATGGCCAACACCAAAAGTTGTATTACATATAAAATTGCTTAGATCACACACATCATCCATCATAATGCTTAGCCATGCAGTAACTGAACCTCGTGCTCCTGCCTGTCTGCCATATGATTGGCTGTTTGAAGGACCAGGCTATTTGGTATGCGTCTGATTGGTTGGTCCCTCCTCCTATAGTTGCTTGGACCCACCTCCTCTCCGATCTGATTGGTTATATCTCGCCTGAACCAATCATTTTTCATTCTCAGAACATTTTTTGTGTAAGTAAAACTCCTATGAGCCTTCGGTATTAGTAGGTAGGTGTGCCTAAAAACTGGCCACTGAGTGTAAAGCAACAAGCTTGTATTATCTTCTAAATAAAGAAGCGATTGTTTGTGGAGGCTCATCATGACAACGTCGTATAAGAAGTTATGGCAATGGAAGGTCGTGATTTGAATCCTTCTTACATTTATGAAGTCAAGTATTTCAATCCAGGACATAGACTTGTTTTAAAATCTTGAGTCTTGACCTAATTTCCGGAACCTCTTTATTACTTGCTCCTTAGATAACACACCATTTAAAAACACATAAATGTACAGCCATTACTGTCTATTTATAAGGCACAATGGGAGAACGTTAAGTGTGTAAGAAGGACAGTGACTATGGGGAAGGATAGTGCTTCTTAAGTCCCCAGAAAGGCCATGAATGCGGTGCTTAACAGGAAATGGTGCTTAAGAACCGCATGAATGTGTACAGACACACACACACACACACGTGATGAAACATCGTAGAGCATCACGCAGAAATCAACCCATTGATGAACACTAAAGGAAAAAGGTTTTAGCGTTTCGCAGCGGTTGAAACTGGTATCCCATTCCAGCCACCATTAATGTAATCCAGCGCTGATGTCTCCAGAGATCAGCATTTGGAAAATGCCTGCTAAAAGCCCACAGTGCAGATGAACAGTGTTGCTTCCCTAGAGCCGTGAGACATCTGTTCTCCATTCTAGAGAGCATTCAGTGGGAATCTAACAGAGATCAGGGAGTCTCAAGCCAACACACCAAGCCCCTAGAAATGAGTGGGTCAGTCCAGGCGCTTGCGTGTTGATGCATTAGTATCGTGTAACAATGTCTCTCTACGCTGTCATAAGTAAATAATGATAACTGAATGTGCTTTGTAGCATTTAAACTAATACAAGGAAGATTCCACAAAAATGAGGCCGAAAAACCACGTGACACGAGGTGAGCTTAGGGAAACAATTTGTTTAGGAGAAAAAGTGCAAAGAAAGTAGCGTATTTCATAAAAAAATAAATACAGAGATTAGTTTAAATACGCAGTATTATTATGTTAATAGCTGAGCAACATGCTCTCTGTGTTTTCGCGAAATTTAAATATAACATTTATTTTTGGTAATGGTTTTTCTTTTTACCAAGTTTGTTCCTTGGGTCAGACCGACTGTTATTATACGCACATTAAACAACATTTGTCCCCTTCAATTAACGCCATTATGTTACCAAAAGCTACATGTATACTGTCAGAATAAACTACGAAATGATGGCAAGTCATCGGCATTATGATTCATGCCTAATACTTTTGTTCCACAGCAACTTGTCTTCAAAATAAACCAGAGTAGTGTATAATATCCAGACAAATTAGCGTCAGCGAAATCTGGTGCGGGTATTACACCTTAACCTGGATATTAAATAGAATCCTACCATTCCACCTGCCGGTTTAATAACCCTTCTGGCGACATCAAGGAAGGAGAGTAAAGAAAAACCGTGAAACGACTCACCTCTTACCCCGAAAGTCCCAGATGGAGGTTGTGAGGCCGGAAAGATGATGGGTGGATGCGTGTGAAGCGCCGGTCCGAAATGATGAGTGTGGAGGGTGCAGCCGGACGTGCAACTCCGACTCCCTCTAATCTCCTTTCAGCTTAACATCTCTGCCTCATCCCCCCTCCCCGACGCCCACCTATCGCTCTGTTCACTTACCTACCGATCAGAGGGAATTTACGTTTAACATTTCTGTGGCAACATCTCAGTCGTAATTCATGAAAATACGTAAAGCTAGATTAAATTGCTTCCAACGCCGAGTGCGAAGATAAATGTTAGTGTCGCCACCTGTTGACGAACTTGTGTTATAAGTCGATTTTTTAATTTTTTTTTTACGATGGACTGACTACTCGATTTAGTAGCGATTTTTGGTGGGAACGACAGAGGCCATTGAAGACGTAAAACAATGGAAAAAAACACTGAAATCATAATCATGTTAGTCGGCAGACTTAGACAGTACTCATCAGAACATGACTCGTGTATTAATGTAATAGTTTTGCTTTTTTTTATCCGTTTGCTTTGCATCAACAAACCATATATAATTCCGCTTTGTTTAAGTGTATTAACTCGTAGCAATTAAAGTAATTTACACTTGTACAGGATGCCTGACCACCATGATTCTGTCCCTTGACTGTGTAATTAACGTCAGTAACGTGCGGCAGGGAGACACCTAGTGCACAGACGGATGAATTGCAGGCTGTGATTTAACATGGGCCTGTACCGTAGTATGAACAGGAGTACTTCACAGAACGAGGTACTGTGATCCTCTGGATTTTGTAAGACGTTCTATTGCTTACCGCAGAATTCTACTGTGTGCAGTTTCCCCGGTCTCCTTGGCATTTGAAGTAGAATCCCAAAATGTTTTCACCCACGATGCCATCTTGGCCTTGGGAATCACTAACCAAAATCCTAGGCCTCGTTTTACACCCCTAGCAGCTGGTAAGACAGACACACAGCCTCACCTGTGCGGATGGTCCAGTTCACTCACGTGGGCCGTGACCATTTTAATGCGCGTCTGTGACTGGAAGGTTCCCTTAAAAACACCCCTAACATCATCCTGTGTGGTTTTCACAGGATGCCAGACAGATCCTTTCTACGTCCTGGAGGGCCCCTTTGGCCACGCCCACAGCCTAAGGTCTGACAGGCCCCTCCCCTAACAGGCTCTGGGTCCTGCTGCAGTGTCACCATAGCAACCAGGATCAGCATCAGAGTGGACGCAGCAGCATCTCCTGCTCCGTACTCAGATTTGTGACATGGTCTCAAGCCGGCTCTCCTGCTTCTGGGGCTTCTGGGCACGGTGAGAGAACTGGAAAGAGGCAGCCGTCTGACGTACAGCATCGTCATGGCAACAAAGGCTTCCTCTGTAAAATGCATCACGCGTTTCAAGGGTACGCGATAGACTCGTGCGATAAGACAATATCAGCAATATCAGACGAGAAACCTGGTGTCGGTATCTGACCGAGTCAAACTGGTGATTATTACCTTCGTTGGGAAAATAGGTACAAGCAATACAAAACGCAAGGTAATGAAGGTATAGGATGCAGCTTTCATCTCAGCACTGTAGCCCGTCTCTCATGCAGTTAAAAAAAAAAAGAAGTTATTTTTATCTCCTCCTACGATATGCAAAGTTAGGCTATCAGTGTATGTAAATGCGGGACATAACGGTGGTACGCCTAGAACTTACCATCGCCACCCCCTCCCCCATGACACGTTCTTAGCCACAGGTACACGGAGAACATAATACTGGTATTCAGTGCTACATAGCCCATGACACGTTTTTAAATCAGGATTAAATCTGGGCTGGCAATCGATTTTCACAGAGACTAAAAAAACAGAGATTAGCACCACTAATCAGTACTGCGAGCCCCCAGAATATTAACGCCAAGGACCGTATAGCAGAATGTCCATATATCATGTTTTTTCATGCTTTTGCGGTTTTCTTTCTGCTAAAAAAAAAATCTAGGTGCCCCGCTTGGTGGTGTGTGTGGGCCGGTGTTGGGCAACTCGATATTATCTCAATATTTTAAAATTAAAATAGCCTATCACATTTTGTTAGACATGCTCCAGCCCTAGTACACGGATATTTCTAAAGCATTATGTAGAAACTGCCATGAAGTTTGTTCTCAGATTGTGGAAACTTCTTCACTCAGTCCAAAGTATCTTCCTCAAAAAACTTTTGGTACAATTTTATCCAGTAAAATGTAAATCTGAAGACTGATGTAGATTATGCTTGGCGTACAGTGGCAACAGTTATCATCATACATTTACATAATACATCAACAGAATCGGGAAGTCCTAACAGGGCAGGGTGTCATGTGACACGTGACGCCTCCCATTCTGTCCCCCGTCACATGCCACGCCTGGTTTGTCGGGCCGAGGGCCCACCCGCAGCCCTCAGGTCATCTTCTTGCGCTTGTGCTGTCGTTTGGGTTGGTCGTATTTCACCAGAGGCAGTTCCAGGGTGGCCAGCCGGTGCTCCTCCTCCAGGCCGGCCATGTCACCCGCCCCAGGGTAGCGCTTGCTCAACCTCAGCCCCATGGACTTGGCCACCTCCACCATCCTGTGAGATCAAGGACGGGCAGCTCAGAGGCAGTGAGAGCACAGGGACCCGCTCACCAATAGGGGTATCTAGACGTGTACTGGTTCCACATTACATTTACGGCATTTGGCAGACGCCCTAAGCCAGAGTGACTTACATAAGCGCATAGAAGTCTAAGTGAATACATTCTGATACTGGTTCAACAGAACCCGGCTAAGAATACTATCACTCTAAAAATCTCTATTGGCAGGTAATACAATTTTTTAATGAGTATAAATCCTAGAATTACTAATCCAAGTACTTTCAAAAGAGGTAAGTTTTAAGTCATTGTGTGAAGGCACCTGACGACTCAGCTGTCCAAACATCTAAGGGGAAGTTCATTCCACCACTTAGTTGCCAAAACAGAGCAGAGTCTAGATGATGTCACTGTCATTGTCATACTGTAACTGTACATTACAGGACCCCCCCCCCCAGCACAGTCTCAAGGAAAAAGGGGCTGAACGAGGCTCTAAAAAGCTCATCCAGGTTCGGTCAGTCATGCCATCATGTAACAATGTCCCTCTATGCCGTCTGAAGTAGATAAGAAGTGAATATGTTTCATGGGATTTCAACTCATCCAGGGAATGTCATCAGGGATGTTTCTAGGATTTTTATAATTCACCAATGATCTGCTTCGAATCGGTGAGTGAAGGCGGAGGCAGCACCTGGTGGGCCAATCAGCCGCGGCCCCTGTACACACCTTCCATCCTCACCCTCCTGCACCTCACACCACCCCTCTGTAGGCCACTAGGCACCAGCTGCTGCACCCTCAGCAAAGGCCCCAGATTCATGGACCCCCGATGCGGGGAATGACAGCAGCCAATCACACGTAGGCTGGAAGGTCGACCCAAACACCAGGCCCTCCTTACTTGGTGTCCGTCAGGCCCAGGTCGCGCTGCAGCAGCGTCAGTTCGGCCGTCCACTGGCCCACGTGGAGCAGCAGAGCCAGGCAGTGGGCGGCCAGCTTCACCCGCATCGATGTCGGGACCACGCTCTGCAGCCTGTCGGGCAGAAAGGCGCTTCCTCACAAGCCAGTCCTCAGAGATGCAGCAAACGGAGCAGCGACGGACCCCAGCGCAGAGAGGCAGAGCCGCTCAAATCTGAGGACACACTCACCGGCCACTATTAAACACCTCGATGGTGAAGGTCCTCATTATTTTATTGTGGACCACACGGGGGCAGCCTTCGCCGAAAGCTGTGGGCGTACAGAATCGCAGATTACAAAAAAGAATTGAGACATGATATAAGCGACACTGAGCGTGACTTTAACAGGAGTCAGAGTGCAGCCACCAAATTTCACCTTTACGGTTGATGTTCATCTTCTGGTGGGACAGTCTGACGAGCTGGTTGAGGTACCAGGCGCAGCGAGCTTGGCGTTCCCGCGCCTCTGTGTCCCTGGGGAGGGTCTGCAGCAGCAGGAGCACCGTCATGGGACTAAGAACACCACAGAAGCCACCATTAGCCCACAAAGGGGTCACGGCACAAACGCCACACCGGGACGGACGGCCCCGCGCAGCCCACCTGCCCTCCTGCTCCATCTTCTGTAGCTCCTCCGCAGAGAGCTCCGCGAACTTAGAGCCGGCTTCCTCCAGGGCGGCGTACTCCACTGGGGACAGGACTGGCATGTGGATAAGGAGGGCTGACTGACGTCTAAGCGGCACGAAGAATGCAGAACACGCAACCTTTGTCACGGTGACACGGTGAAAACTAAACGCTGATTAACTATCAGCAGCTTAAGTGCCAGAGGCAGCTGGAGTTAGGAAACAGAAAAAACTGAATATAAATAGGCTTGTGGGGTATGATGACATTATCGGTAATTGATATCATCACACAAGCAACCCAGTATTAATATCTGATAGTGACTAAACGGCGATTATCGCCTTTGTCAGGAAAGTAGGTACAGGTGACACACAAATCAAAATAACAGAAGGATTTACGATTCGGCTTTCAGTTCAGTCTCCTAGCTAACATTCCGAATGCGGTTTTAAAAAATCGTTTTTTTTTGCCTTGTTTGATATGTAAACATCAGTCATGAGGGTGATACATGGCTAGACCACCCCCCCCCCCCATCTACTTCCTTCCTTCCCACTGGTATGCAGAGAGCATACGACCTTCTATGGTGGTTCGTGGCTGTTTGTAAACCACTACTTTAGATGGGTTTAGAAGGTTCATGACATATTTCTGAACGCCAGCTGTTTTAGCAGATTATCAGTATTCTGTTTTCTCATGCTTTCACATTTTTCTTTCGGCTATAAAAAAAATGTAAGCGCTCTGCCACGTGCACTTTTGTGCGTGTCTGTGTGTATGTATGTATGTATGCACGTATGGGTGATGCTGGACAACTCTGTATTTTTTATCCCAATATTTTTAAAGTGAAATATCACATCAAATTTTCTTTAGATATCACCCACCCCGAATAAGAAGGGGGGGAAGTAAAAGGGAGGGGGGGGGCCTTTTTGTTTTGTATTATGCTCAGGTAGTGACACCACACACACTCCACACTCCCCCCCCCCCACCAGAATTGATATTGAACCACACAGACATACATGAGGGGACAGATGCGTAGGAAGGATACGCTCATCGAAGGGATAAACGTCTTCAGGCCGGGAAGCGTCGACGTGGCAGGGTGGGAGGTGGTGCATGATGTCATTCTGCGCCTGTGATTGGGCCACGTCCTGCTCCAGGGCTGGGGGAGCACAAAACCACAGTGTACCGGTGCCATGGAACCCAGAGGCATTTGGGTACATTCCTTGATATGGCACTTCAGGTTATACAAGCGGCAATGGGAGTCACATGGAATGAGCAGCGATGCATAGTTCAGGTCCAGAAAGCAAAAATCCGGACCAATATTTTGTTTCGACCAACCAGCTGAGTACTTTACTTTCAGCACCTGAACTATCCGCTTCTGGGAATGAGAGGCAGGCTGAGAGTGTGTGTATTTGACTGCTGCGTATGTGTGCATCCCAGCTACCTTCCACGCCCCTCTGCTTGATGATGCCGTCAGCCGCTTTGGCCACGGCGTGGTGCAGAGCCTCACTGCCCACTAGATTCAGCCTCCTGGAGTTCAGGGCCCGTTTCTGCTTGTTGGTACCGAAGGCCTCGATCAGAGAGTCCACCTGCAAGGACAGGCGAGATGTAAGGGCCAATGGGTGAAAGGGACACCGGCCAATTGGCAAACAAACACAGGCGAACAAAATGACGAGTGACCGGTACCTTCTCCCGGTAAGATGTGGCTGTGCTTTTTTCAGTCTTGTCCTCAGGGATGGATTCCCCTGTAACAAACAGGAAACAGATCATGACACTTACAGTAGATGTGAAATTGAAACTGTCTTATGTGGTTCAGCTTAAATACCTGGGATTATAGGGTGCATATTGAAGAGCTGAGCACTATGCACTTCCATGCGCTTGGTGTTCTTGTCAAGGACGCCTACATAATACCTGCGGATATAACAACCGGCGTATTTTACACATGGAATTTGCTAAGTTAGCAATATTACACCTTTTTCCACTTTTAAAAAGATTTAAATACCTTACTATCAGACGCTCAAAAAGTATCGCGATATCATGGTACGACAGAACACTGTTGTACTTGCAACATGTACTTGCAAAAAATTGTATTACCTGCCAATAGAGATTGTTAGAGTGAACGTACTTGCAAAGGGTGTTACATTTCAACGACTCGGGTCCGAAGTTATTCGCAACGTAAGAAAGCCTGTCCGTCTCAGCCACCTGCAGAAGGGTAACAAAATTAGCCCGGAACACGGCCAACAGAAAAACAACGTTTACCATAGATGGACATAAATGTACCTGTACTCGTATTTGTACAAATGGAAAATACATGTTTATTATTAGATTACAAAGGACAAAACTGGCCCGGCTTACAAATCACGTCAACCTACAACAATGCGTCTGCTCTTTTTCCTGGGGGCATTTACGTCGATATTCCTGTATAGGCTGAAGTCCACATGGTCTGTATTTTTCAAATTGCCGTTGGAAAACTGAACTAGGAAAAAAACAAATGGGTCAAAATTAAACATCATATATAATATTAAGCAACAATATGACAAAAGATGCAAACGCTTGCCGAGGATGATGCAGAAATACCCACGTGGGCACCCGAATAAGATTCTACATATGTTAATTACGAAAGACGGTTCAAACATATAACTGTGAAACACACTTTCCAGTCTACAGATTGCAATAATTTATGAAACAAACTGGAATTACCAACTACGGCACTGTTACAGGCCGCCTGTTCCCTCTCCTGGTCGCAGCACTTCCAAACACAGGACGCAGCCATTGCGCTGCCGTAACACTGTCAACATCCGGGCCGCAAACTGATCTGACGTCAGCCATGAACGCAGCCAATCGCGACAAAACAAAAGAGTACATAGCAGCATTAAGTAGTCGCTATATATTTCACAGCGCCACACCGAGGATCTATATGTTACTGCACAATTTCATTACCAGATGAATCCATAATCGCCATGACAAGGTTTCGTTGTCGGGACATTATTGTATGATTACATTATTAAAACTTATTACTGTTTTCATTTAGACTGTTTTAATACTCACGGCGACCCTCAATAAGAAAAATCACGTGGGAAGATAGATGGTCAGTACACACTTTATTTAAAGCGAATCGTATAGTTGAACTTTTTATATTTTATTTGCATATGGGTATAGCTCGGTTCATTCAAGTACTCGACTACTCGCCAAATACTCGCCCCCCACCCCAAAGGCTGCGCATCGCCACACACAGACATAATTCAGCTCCGCATCCTTCAGAGAACCTGAACGCAATTTGCATGCTCCACGGCATCACTCGTTTGCCTTTTCATAAATGGTGCGTCTACGCTGAAATAATCAAGTATTTCGATGAAGTGGAAAATGCAGTAATTTCACGTTCCCAGTTTCTGTTATCAGTGTGTACGGAGAGCCTTAGTGGAAACTGCAGTAATATTTACAATTACTTTAAATGTGTGTTTTTGCATGGATCTACATGTTGCAGTTTAAGTGACAAATATTAGGAGAAAAATGACTGGGAAATCAGACCGCCACACACACACACACACACACACACACACACACACACACACACATATATATATATATATATATATATATATATATATAAACTAATGATATATAGATGGAAAAAGAGAATTGTTGATATGGAGAGATTAACTAAGAGTTATGTCTCATATATGAAATAATATAAAAATTAAAGTATAATTAGTAAAACGAAATTCGTTTTCAGATCTAACTGATTGGCCAAAACATCTTAAACTGGAGTTAAACACCAACTAGCCCTCATTTGATATACAAATGAGATACTTAAAACCCCATCCGGCGCGTCAGTGAGCCCGTCACCGGGAAAGGGAGTCCCCCGCACGCAGAGAGCGCCTTGGCTGCCCGTCAGCCCGCTTTCCACCCCCTGCCTGTGTCTCCGCCTTGTTCGGCAGAGGATCCGCACCGGGACCTTGCTCTACTTTCTGCCCCCCCCGCCTGCGTCTCCACCTCGCTCGGCTCGGAGGTCTTTCATACGGCTGCGCGGTATCGGGGCTGGAAGCCGCGCAGACACGGCGCTGAGACCGGCTCTCGGGGGCGGGAGGGGGCTGTACCGAGAAGCGGCCGCGGCTGTAACACCATACTGCCGCCCAGGGCCCTCGGCCAGGCGAGTCCGGAGAGGAGGGGGGTTCCGTGCTTGATATGTGCCCCGCCGTCCGCCGTGCTGTGGATTTCGCGGGGATAAGGTAGCTGCCGCCATTTACCGAGCGCCTGATGATCATGGTCGTGGGGGTGACTATCGCACAGGCGGCGGGGATCGGACGGGAATGCGATGCCGGGACCGTGCATCCGGACGGCCTAGCGGACACCTCGGCTCCCCGTACCGACAAGATGTCGGCGGGTCGCAGTGCCAAAGCGCTCCGCCGGTGCTGCGGGGTTTGCGAGCTCCGGGGGGGGCGCTGTGCCTGGCGGAGTGAAACCGCTGAAAACTGGAGGACGGCGCGACGTCCGGGGGGGGGCGATTTAGGGGAGCAAGTTACGCTCAGGGAGCAGAAACAATGGGGCGGGCAGAGCGCCGGCACCCCGTAGGGGGGAAACCCGAGGACATGGACGCTCTGTTACGGGTTTTATTATGGCGAAAGTTTGTGGCTGTGGGATTCGCTGCCACGTTTTAAAGGAAAAGCTCTCGGGCGTGTGGGAGAGGAAGGAGCCAGCGGTGCGGGGGACTGAGAGGCGGCTTCACCTCGCATGAACCCGCCGCGGAGCGCTGCGGCTGTTCCGCCTTCGCTGAGGGCAGCCTGACGCTGGAGTCCAATGCTTTTTATTCAATCAGAAGGGGGGGACCTAACCAGAAAACGCGGACTAAACATACATAGATGGAAAAAGAGAACTGCTGATATGGAGAGATGAACTGAAGGAGTTATGTCTTTAGCTAGAAACTCCCACTGTACCGTTTCTACTAAAATGTGTAGGGGAGATTTTGCACGTGTAGGTCATTTGTTTGTCATGTTTTGCGGAACAAAATGACACATAGTAATGCTCATTGGTTAAAGCCTGCTTGTCCCTCAGGGGAATGTCCCGTGACACCTTTGTTCACGGATCTCTCTCCACCCCCTCACCTGCAGGGTATGGATTTCCCAGGCCACTTCGACCAGATCTTCCAGCAGCTGAACTACCAGCGGCTGCACGGCCAGCTATGCGACTGCGTCATCGTGGTGGGCAGCCGGCACTTCAAGGCTCACCGCTCGGTGCTGGCTGCCTGCAGCACGCACTTCCGTGCCCTGTTCACAGTGGCGGAGGGCGAGGGCAGCATGAACATGATCCAGCTGGACAGCGAGGTGGTGACGGCGGAGGCCTTCGCCGCCCTGGTGGACATGATGTATACCTCTACCCTCATGCTAGGCGAGAGCAACGTCATGGACGTTCTGCTGGCCGCCTCGCACCTGCACCTTAACGCCGTGGTCAAGGCTTGCAAGCACTACCTGACCACGCGCACACTGCCCCTCTCGCCCCCGGGAGAGGCCACCCTGCACCCGCAGGAGCCGCACCTGGACGGTGGAGGTCCCAGACCGCAGCGCTCCTTCCTGCTGCAGCAGTTGGGCGTCAGTTTGGTGAGCTCCGCCTTGAGCGGGGTGGACGAGGGTGCTCCCGGTGGCGGGGCGGTGGAACAGCGTGCCTCATTCCCCATCCGGCGCTTCCATAAACGGAAGCCGACGCTTTCCTCGCTGGCTGTCGACGAGCGCCCCCGGCACCGGATCCGGACCTCCGCTACCATGGAGGGGGCGCCCCACAACCGGGGAGGCTCTGGCGACCTGGGTGAGGGGGACTTCTTCTCTCCAGATTCAAAACTGGACACAGGCATTGCCAATGACGTCAGCGGAATCCCGGAACCGCAGGCGGCGCAGGATGATGCCCAGCTGCCAAGCCAGTCAGACGGTGACTGTGGACAGGACCCACTGGGGAAGGTGGAGTATGTGGGCGTGCCGCCGCAGGAGGCTGGGCTCCTTGTTAAGGTCAAGGAGGGGGAGGAGGAGGAGGAGGCACCGCAACAGATGCAAGTGGTGGTGAAGAGCGAGCCCCTGAGCTCGCCGGAGCCTGCTGACGAGACCAGCGACGTGGCCTCGCAGGCCGAGTGCAGCGACCAGGTGGAGCCTGGCGCTGAGAAGGTGGAGCTTAGCCCCGGGGGGAGCGACCGCAGCTTCTCGGACCCGCAGTCGAGCACGGACCGCGTGCCGGAGGTGCACCTGCTGGACGGGGCTGCGGACGGGGGAATCGGCGGCGGTGGCGACCAAGAGACGAGGATGTCTCGAGATGTCCTGGATGGCAAGCAGGGCTTTGGGATGCCATTTGGGGGCACCAAGGGCTACGGGTCAACACCCTGCAGGCGGGGGCTGCTGCCTGATGACAGTCTGCCCAACACAACCACAGCAGAGTGCGGGCCTGACATGGAGGCTGGCGGCTACCTGCGGAGCCCAGAGTCCCTCAGCGCCTCATCCTCCCTCCTGTACCCAGGCATGCGCCACCCCCACCAGCACCTCCTCTCCAGTGACGTGCACTCCTTTGGCGACATGCAGGCGGACTCCTTCTTCCTGCGACCTGCGCAGGACGGGCTGGGCTACCAGCCAAGCCGTGCATCCGACTCATTCCCTCTAGACTACCAACGCTCAAGCCTAGGCCTGCACTCTCTGCCCCACTCACCCAGGGGAGGAGGCGCCGGCGGTGGCCCGGGCTTCCCCTCCTACCGCCGCATCGCGCCCAAGATACCCCCAGAAGGCAGCTCCGGGCTAGCTCGCAAAGATGGAGCTTCTTCCTCATCCTGCGGAAGCTTCCAGGGCGGGCCTGGATATGGCGGCCCGGAGTCCCAGCGAGGCGCCGGCGTGGCCGCACCCCCTCTGCTGACGAGGGCCTCGGCCGACGTCCTCTCCAAGTGTAAGAAGGCGCTGTCGGAGCACAACGTGCTGGTGGTGGAGGGTGCCCGCAAATATGCCTGCAAGATCTGCTGCAAGACCTTCCTGACACTGACGGACTGCAAGAAGCACATCCGCGTACACACGGGCGAGAAGCCCTACGCCTGCCTCAAGTGCGGCAAGCGCTTCAGCCAGTCCAGCCACCTGTACAAGCACTCCAAGACCACCTGCCTCCGCTGGCAGAACAGTGGCCTGTCCGGGGGCCTGCTTTGAGCATGCTGGGGGTGGGACCAGGGCTAGGGGTGGGGCGTGGACGAGGCATGATGTGCCTATGGGCGGAACTAGGAGAGACACACCTTCTTCTTCTTTTTTTTTTTTTTTTTTAATTAAGGAAACTTATGAAAAAGTCCAGTTATTTCAGTGGTCACTGTCTCATGACTAATTTCTACACCCCCGTGCCACATCACTCTGATCTGTTTTGGGTGGAGGAGCCACTCGTGGACACTGACATGTGCCCGAAGGTACGTCCCTGTCGGGAATGTGGATCAGCCGCATAAAGTCATTAATGCAGAACTGCCTTTTATCTGCGTCCTTGCAGAAGGTGACCTGCATGGTTGCTAAGGAACAGGCCGGTGAGTATGCGAGGTTGGCTCCCTGCTTCCCCGCCCTTTGGTTTGGTTCTGAAGGCTAAACTGTTTGTTTTTGCTGGAGGGGTAAATGCGCCTGACTTCACAGGAAAGGGTGTGGGCGGGGGAACCTTTGTTTGTGTGTTTTGTCACAATTTCTCAGCCACTACGGCTATTATAATGGTGACTTTAAGTGGTATCTTCAGATTATACTCACTGATTTCGTTCTCTGTTGTTGGGCAGGGCCCCAAGGCTTATGTGTGTGTGTGTGTGTGTGTGTGTGTGTGTGTAATACACCACACTCTTGAAAGCAGCACACTGCTTAGCAGTGAAACTTTGGCTTCATTGGGCAAAAAATACAGAAAGATTTTTCCAGAGGGGATGTTCTCTTGTTTTCCGTGAGGGTTTCTTGAGGTTCTTGGTGAGGTTGTAGGAGTGACACAAAATGCATAAGCTGTTCGAAATGTAAATATGGCACATATCTGCAGAAGGCACGGTTGGCGTGTGGACTTTGTTTCACGTGAGCTTTGCAGGTCTATTTTCAGCTGATGTTTTCCTTCAACCAAAATGTCCCACTCTGTTGGGAAAAGTCTTCATAGTAAGTAACGTTTTTGTGTGTGCGGCTTGCACTGTAGGTTGATGTACATGATCGGAAAAATGAAAACCCTACACAGTGAATACTCCCTGTCTTTTAACTCCCGTCAGTGTTGTTCCCATGTAGCTTACTCTGAGCACTACACTCCCAGTGTAGGTGTGGCGGTGACCCTCTATTCTGTTACTAGTGGCAACTGTACTCATCATGGTGTCGAAGATTGAAAGTTGCGTGGTGTGTCGTATTTGCTTGTGTTTTCAGGTCTGCACCAGCAGCCAATTAACACGTATCCAGCGTGGGTCCTGGAGATCTCCATACAATAGCATTCCTTACATCACCTAATGTCGTCCCCTGTGCAACCTTCATGTGCTCACAGTCATCCTAAACAAGTGCCTGTCCTATCAGGAACTACCAGGTCAATGTTCTCCTTTGTAACAGGTGATGTACGTAAGATCATCTGGAAGGGGACTCTGCAGGACCATAACTGGGCACGTCCTCTTGTTGAAAGAGAGAATTACTGCAAAAGCAAAAACTCAACCAATCATTATGTCATCGGACAGAACATACCTACACAGTAATTATTTAAGGTTACCGGAGAAGGTGTGAATGCGTTGACCTACTGTGACAAATTTGAGCATAGCTGTGTCGTGACTTCCTTTCAGATCAACAGGACATGCTTGTTTTATTTTGTTTTTCAAAACCTCTGTTGTGTTGGTGAAACTGAGTCTTAGTTGTTGACCCCCCCCCCCATGGGTAAATATCCTCAGAATTTCCTTTTGTTTTAAAAATGGAACCGGACCGCCGTGTCTTCCACACAGCTGGAGCCTACTTCCTGACTTAAGAGTTTCCTCTGAGCCTTGGTGTGACCTAAGATCATCCATCCAAATGTAACGTTGGCTTGAGCCCTTGCCTAGGAAGAACACTGGAAACAAGCTGTGTCACCGACATGTTCCTGTGTATCAACGACATGTTCCTGTAACTAGCAGAGTTCTAGTTTACAGAAAAACCAAAACACACTTAGCATTCTCAGAGTTTCCACTAATAACACTGGAACTGAAGCTGACTTTTATTGCTGTCAAAACGTTGCTGTTGTACAACAATGCATCTGAAATATTTTCTTTACTAATTTATTAGAGTTTGGTCATCATAGTTATATTAGCCCTAACTGCTTACATGAAAGTGCACTGTTTGACTTACCTGCAATTGTGTAGCTACATCAATTAAAGACTTTCCATTTGTAAGTTTTACCATTCAAAGTGGAGGGACAGGCCTCTGCCTTAAAGCTCCTGTTTGAAAAACTAGGGCTTCGTTATGCCAAAACTGACAAACTGACGTGTCCTGTCACTTACTGTTGTGACTTTTAGAAGACAACCTGCTTTGTAGAGAAGTAACAAAAACTGTATTTTATTTCATTTGTTGTACAAGAATAAAGATGGAAATGTCTGTGTGTGTCTGGTCTCTGTGTGAGTTGTCTTAGAGGCCCTGGAGTCACTGATGTACTGAAAAAGCAGTATGGGATGTAGATGGATACTGTTCATTAATTGTTTTAGCCAGAGTTTAAAATGATGCCCGCCTCTGTGATTGTTTTGCTGGGACAGTTCAGGTTAACTGCCTTGCTCAGGCGTGCTGCTGAAGAACCTACCCTGACACGTCAGACCGCAGTTTTGGAAACTTCCCTCCGATGCGCGGTCTGGCGCCCTCCGCCCGCTGGCACAAGCAACTACAATTGTTTGTGTCACGTGGTAAGGTCTAGCTTTCTAACCGGAACTTTAGTAGCGATGAGGCCTGCTTTGGCTACGATGCACCACCAATTTAACGTTCGTCGGCAAAGCATAAATTTACTTTGTAGCCTTTGTCTGTGCTGTAAACCTTGCTTGGGCGACAGGGTACGACTATGCGTGTCCCTGTGAGATGCAAAGATATCCTCAGAATCCGTTTGCTTCATTGAAAGGAAATAATTAAAAATATTCAAAATAATTAAAAAATAGATGTGTGTGTGAATTACAGGAAACTGGTAATTCGGTCTATGTGGCCCGTCGATTGCGTAATCTCGCGAGAACGTTTCTCTGCTCGTTCATAAATCGCGCCGTCAGGTGCGTGTGGCTTTTTCGCAGCTCGCGGATTAATGATCCGGTAAAGCTGGGGGCTCCGCTTTAGGTGTGGGGTTTGATAATTCTATTAGCTCGATAAAAGAAGGTTGTCGCCGTGTTTAGATCATGGCAATCAGGCCGCATCCATTAAAATAAGCTAATATCAAGTTTTAAAAGTTTGTTTTTTTTTTTGGTGATGGTATTTAAGAGTTTGGAATCAGTCGTTTGTTAACGCTGTTCGCACTCTGCCCAATGACAGCTGTTTGTAATTTTGTAACAATGCTTTAGTCCCTTTTGTAATGTTTAAACAGTCAAGTAGTATTTAAGGACTGTATGCTTGTAGCATCACTTGTCTTTCAAATGATTTAAGCTTCTGTTTTTTTCGTAACCGTTAACCGCAGCACGGAAACCGTACCGCTGTCAGAAATATCCATTTCTTTAGGCGAACATGGAGACGCTGGACGCTGAACAGGTTAGTTGGTAACTTCATTTATAAAAGAACGAAAGCTGCATATTATTGGCTGCTAGGAATGTATACTCATATTTGGTTTTATGCCTCTTGTTAAATCCTGGCTCAAAATCGATCAAATGATGGGGACCTATGGGTAATGCTGTCATTGGTCGACTGAGCGTTTTTCGTTACGAACACAAGAAATTTACAAACGAGAGGAGGATATTCGGCTCATCAAGCTAATTTGGGGAGAACTTAGCTAATAGCTCAGAGTTGTTGAAGTCTTATCTAGCTCTGATTTAAAGGAACCCATGGTTTTAGTTTGCACTACATTAAAAGGGAGACTATTCCATGCTCTACATGCTGTGTAAAGAAGTGCTTTCTCAAATTCATTTTAAAATGTTCTCCTGTTAACTTCCACCTATGGCCATGAGTTCTAGTATTTAAACTAATATTGAAGTAGCCATTTGTCTGAACAGCATCCAGACCCGTTAGAATCTTATACCTGGATCATGTCCCCCCTTAGTCTCCTTTGCTCAAGGCTAAACAGATTCAGCTCAGCTAACCTCTCCTCATAAGACTTTCCTGTAAGACCAGGAATCATTCTTGTAGCCCTACGTTGTGGTTCTCTGTTGGCGTTTCTTCACAGAATGCAGTGAAGAGGTTGCTGGACCTCCCCCTGGTCAGCTCCACTTGTTACTTGGTGTCTGTCGTGTACTGCAACATGAAGGAAAGTCACCCTCGCGTCAAGCCGTTCTGTGAGGTGGCAGAGACTGGCGTGAAGACCATCGCCTCTGTGGCTGCTACCGGCGCCGCGCCCATCATTGTCAAGTTTCAACCTCAAAGTAAGAACGGTGGTCTTCAGATGCTGTTTCCGAAGCGTGGTGCTCGGAAGCATGCTGGAAAGTAATGTGTGTACTACTTCGTTTTGCAGTTGCTGGCGCAAACCAGCTGATGTGTAAATACCTGGATAAGACTGAGGAGGCTTTCCCGGTCCTCCAGCAGCACTTGGCCCAGGTTTGAGCCCCCTGTCCTTGGCTATATATCACCTTTGAATTGTCTTCCCGAGTGTCATTATGGCAATGGGAATATTATTCAAAACCAGAGTAGTGTGAAGGTCATGAGATCAGCCTCCTTTAATCGTTTTTGTTTGTGGTTAGTCTCCGGCTTCTGCAAAGGACCACGCAGTATACTCTATTTCCAGGTGGTGTCCAGGCCTGACAGTGTCCTGACCACAGCCAAAAATGCGAGGGCAGTGATTGTGCACATGGCTAAGGACGCAGTGATGGTAGTTAAGGACAAGGCTGGTGTGGTGTTGCGGGAGGCTATGGTAATGACCAAGTCCGCGCTGGATGGCGGCTTCGGCGCTGTGCTGGGCAGCCGTGCAGCCCAGCTCCTGAACACCGCCATGAAGACGTCCCCGACAGTCCACGGGACGGCGGCAGCCCAGTGCCCCACTACGGCAGAGGATTCTGGTGAGGGCAGGATGCCTTTTTGTTTCGGAGCTGCTGTATAGTTAGGAATTCAGCCTAACGTGCAGATTTTCCTATGGTATTCAGCCCCAGTTACCCCGGAAGGCATACTAAGACAATGGAAGCCAAACTGGAATGGCTATTGGTTTGCAGAAGTTTTCCTTAGTGTCCAACTTGGACAGAAACCAGAATTAATGGCAAGCTTGAGTAAGCCTGACTTTCCTTGCATTAGCACTAAGCCTGTCGTTCCTTGCACTTTTTTCCTTGTAGTAAAGAATGCTGCTTTCCACAGGCACTTTTTTCCCACTTGTGTTGCTGATTCTAATTACAGTGGGGTAGATGCAGAATTTCTATAAGTAAATCTTTCACCAAGAGTTCAAGAGGGAGGTCTGAATATGCATTTGAATCTTTTTTTCCTCTTCCTCCAGGGGAAGTCCCTGACTCTGCCTGCAAAAAGCCTGGCTATCGTGCCTGTCTGCCCTTGATCTCCACCAAGGTGTGCCACAGGGCTGATCGTACCACTGATGGGGAGCAGGATGTTAAGGTCAGGAGTTCCCAAGAATCGACTCTGTAGCTCTGAGTTTTGGTTTCATCCGGCGTTTCTCATGAGCAGATGGAATTGCATGCCGTGGTCACCTCCAGTGGGCTCACCAACCAGCTGCAAACCCTGTGCCTGACCGTTGTCTCCAGTCTACAAGGCTTCCAGCAGAATGTTCAGATACAGGTTCTGGCTGTGGCCGTGTCTGCCTCTGAGGTCTGCAACAGCTTATGGAAGGCCTATGTCCGTGGAGAATTCTCTGACCAGACCGAACAACCCCAAAGGGCCATTGGACAAGGTGCTTCAGTACTAGGCTTTCATCTGTATGATGGACAGACAAGAAGGTTGAAATGATCTAAGGGCTGGAAACTTACCCTTTGCACTGTGAAATGCACCTTTTAATGTGCAGGTGGAGGGTGCAATCCTGTGGGTGTTCACCTCTAGCTTAGTTTTCTTCTTCAATGGTTGAAATGCAAAACATTTTGGCAATGGTATCTGTCACGCATTTAGAATAATTACTGGAATCTGTACTCCGAAATAAATGAAAAGCAGTTTGACATTTTCAGATTTCATTCATTTCATGTTGGAAATTGTTTGCGTAATCATGCAGTGCATCTTAATTTACTTTCACGTCCACAAACTGGAGGGGCCTTGACTGGTTTTAAACTTGTGTGCCAGATTCAGTTCATGCAAAAAGTAGTTTTAAATCCAGGCTTGCACTTTGGCTCCACCTGGTGGTGTCTTAATGTAGGCCTGCAGCAACCATGAAGAGAGACGGAGTTTCAGACCACTTGCAGAGTTTCTGGGTGTCTGCTTGGAATTGTTTGGGCCTACAGTGCCTTGCAAAAGTATTCACCCCCCCCTTGGTATTCTCTTGTTCCCTTATAACCTGGAATTTAAAAGGAAATTTGGGGGGTTTGTATTTCACTTACACAACACATTTACACAACACAATTACCACTTTGTGGAAGCTTTTTTTTTTTTTTTTATTGTGCAATTAGTGACAAGTCTCTATGGTTACATCCCCACAAGCTTGGCACATCTACCCATTCTCATGGCAAAATTGCTCCAGCTCCAAGTTGGATGGCGCTGCCTGTGTACTGCAATCTTAAAATCATACCAGAGATTCTCAATTGGATTGAGATCTGGGTTTTGACTGGGCCATTCCAGGACGCCTGTTTCTCTTTAAACCACTGGAGTGTTGCTTCAGCGGTGTTTAGGGTTATTGTCCTGCTGGAAGGTGAACCTCCATTCCAGTCTCAAATCTCTGGAAGACAAACCAGGTTTCCCTCAAGAATCCCTCTATTTTGTGCCATGCATCTTTCCTTCAATTCTGACCAGTTTCCCAGTCCCTGTCGATGGAAAAACATGGGGGCATGATGCTGCCCCCACCGTGCTTCACTGCTGGGATGCACGGGAAAAGAGAGCTGATTAATGCCAGTTTTGGTGGACGACCCTCTCGGCAGATATGCTGTGGTGCCATAATCTTTCCATTTTCTAATAATGGATTTGATGGTGCTCATTGGGATGTTCAGGGTTTGGGATTTTTTTTGTAATGCAAGCCTGATCTGTACTTCTCTGCAACTTTGTCTCTGACCTGTGTGGAGAGTTCCTTGGTCTTCAATTGCTCACAGGTGTATCTTATTTAACTAATTAAGTGGCTTTTGAAGGTAGTAGTTGGGGCTTCAAAGCAATGGGGGTGAAAACATATGCATGCAGCACTTTTCAGTTTTATGTATTTTTAGAATTATTTTAGTTTTTTCCCTTTTAATCTGTAGCTTTTCTTGTAGGTCCATCACTTAAAATCAAATTGAGAATCCATTTAAATTCCAGGTTGTAAGGGAACAAGATTGATAGAATGCCAAGGGGGGTGAATACTTCTGCAAGGCACTGCACCTGCCACTTTCTGAAATGTGAGAATTATGCTCTCTGATTAATCAAACATATTTCAAACAGGAAACGGTGCCAGTTTGGACGCACCTACCCATAGGTTTACTTGTACTAACATTTTATAATTACAAAGACATCAAACTATAAAATAACTTTTAAAGTTTGATGTCTTAACTGTAATTATAATAATTATAATTTGTAATATAAAATTTTAAGTACTTTTGTCAGTGCATAATTCCATAAAATAACTTTTATGGAATTATGCATTAAAAGTATTTAAAAAAATATTTGTTGTGGACAGGGGCAGCTCTGTAGGTTGGGACTCAGAAGGTTGTCTGATCAAATCCTTGGGTCGGCAAAGTGATCCCACCATTGGGCAGTTGAGCAAGACCCTTACCCCAAATTGCTCCAGGGACTGGAGCCTTACATTCTCCTCCATGCCAGTTCCATGAGGTGGCCTCCTGGGATGCTTTTCCTGCTGTCCTGTAGGAGGTCCTACATATATGCTGAGCTCTCATTGACCGCTTGAAACTCCTCCAAAACCATCTCTATCATGTTTAGGTGAGGTGGCCAGGTCACCGTCACTCTCCAATGGAGGCAGCTTGGCGTATCTTAACTTTTGATTGCCTTTGTAATTCCAGAGACATGAGCTAATGTATGACCACCAAGCCAAAAGACAAACCGATTGTACCTTCACTGGAAAATTGGAAGTTATGTCAACATCTAATCTAAGAACATGAACTAGTCTAACGACTATTATTGTCTGGAGCGCGGTGTTTACAGTATGTTTCGGTACACCAAAGATGATGGGTGTTCCTGTGACTACTCCTAATAAGATCCCCATTATTTACTCCATGTGAACCATTGATTCGTTATCTTAAACCTTCCCAGAAACTGACAGCATGAGGATGTGCACGAATGACGTGAACTACTGTCAAAGTCATCCTAGCTTAACCTCAGACTCCATGACTCAGTTTCACTTCTGTTTTACTGTACCTCTCGGTACTTAACCGGGGAAATTGCTACGTGCATTTTTTTTTTTTACGATACAGCAAAACAGCTGAAATCAGTGTAAAGACATAGTTCCTGATTTGTGCCTTTAGATATCTTCAGTGATTCCCCTGCCACAGTAAACGCTATTGTAATCCAGTGATTATAAAAAATAAAAAAACAACTATGAGGCTCCTCCTCTCAGAAAACACTCCAGGTCCCGAACGAGAGGGACATGATAAATTCCCACCAATGGGCGAGCTTCTTAAACACTTTCATCCTCTCATGAAATACACTTTGTTTTGCTGTGGTACTGCTTCAGTCAAGGTGTACAGTACGATGTCTTTGTGATTGATATATCCGACCACGGCCCCTGACTGGGTGCACGTAGCGCTTCCGTGGGTTTCCTCCTGGGACTCCCATCTCCCCACAGACCAAAGGCTGAGATAAATTGGAGACCCCCCCCCCCCCCCGCGTCTGTGAAAGCGTGTGACTGCTCTGCAGCCCCACGCTGGGTGTGTCTGGCTTTATATCCAGGGTTTCCAGGAATATGCATAAGATGACTAAAAGAACAACTGGAAAATCCACTTAATGAGAAAGGATGCATGATAAATGATGATTAATTTACTAGTTCATTCGTTGCGTCGCTCTTTCATAAATCTAAGAACATTACAAGGCGCGATAACTGGATTTGAGAAGAATCTCCACTCTGTGCCATTAAATTGCAAAAGTATTCATTTACTTTTGCATTTCTATTTATTTGGCAGATACATTTTTTTGTCAATATACGCCAATACATTGTAATATCTAGAGCAGGGGTCTCCAACTCCGGTCCTGGAGAGCTACTATCCAGTAGGTTTTCTGTCCTACTTGACTTCTGATGAGCCACAGCTGGCCCTGGTATTTACCTGAGAACAGCTGTGGCTCATCAGAAGCCAGATAGGATAGAAAACCTACTGGATGGTAGCTCTCCAGGACCGGAGTTGGAGACCCCTGTCCTAGAGGTTTTTTTGTTTTTAATAAATCACTGAAAATGATGGACGACAGTGCCGGATCTGAGGCTAGGGATCTGTGCCAGCAACTGGAAGGTTGCTGGTTCAAATCCTGTGAATGCCCGGGGTGATACTACTCCACTGGGTCCGTGAGCAAGGCCCCTAACCTGCAATTGCTTCATCTTGGTTATGACATTAATCTACAACCAGCCCTGCAAGCAGGTCCTCCAACTTACAGGGAATAACTTGGGGGTTGGTGGCACGATTCGCACTCCAGCCACTGGAAAAAACCTCACACTGGTTCATTCGGACTAGTGTGGTGCTGAGGTATCACCTGCTGCATGGCTGCACTCAGGTTTGCATCCCTGCGGTGGTTTGTCGTGTGGCAGGTGCAGCAACGCACTGTAATCAGCGCATGCTCCTTACCTCTCTACTGAAAATTAACCTAAAGTCGAAACATTAGATACTGCAGTAGTGCGATCTGAAGAAACAGCACATGACATAAATTCAGCAAATAATCTGTAAATTTTACTCTGGCAAAACTATTTTTCATTACGTCAGGCTTTTGAACAGATTTGGACATTTGATATTTGCAAAGGTAAAGGAAACTTCTTAAAATGTCAGATTTGTCATAGACATGCAAAAAAGAAAAAAGAAAACTAAAAAATAATGTGGAAGCGCTCTCAGTAGGGGGCGCTAACATTTTTGATGTCAGTGTGTGACTGACCAACGAAAAGTCACTTCCTATATATGGTGTTCTTTCTTTTTGTGTGACACCTCCGTATGATTATATTATAAGATAAACTGCGGTTAATATGCAGTTATAACAATCTTACATAATCCTTCAATATAACACGTCGCAGCAGACGCATTCAAATTTTCATGTTCCGATGAATAAGCTGTAGACGTCATTTGGATTAGGCGGCCAAATAAACGCTTGCAGTAGTAAAATTAGCCTGGGTTGGACTAGGAATTAAAATAAGCCCTGGACTTTGGGGTTCCCCCACTAAAACCATCCCACAGTCCACCGAGAAAATGTACGGAATGCCTGAGTGCCAGTCCAGCCCAGACACAGATATAATGACTAGGCCTAACGAAGAGAGTGCTGGCTAATAAAGCAATTAGATACTTAAGCAAAAAATGTAATTGCAATATTTCCCGTGTTTTCCTTTGATATGTCTATGGACACATTTGGAGAGATTATGTCATAAAATTTCACCAGTTTGAGTGTAGACTTCTCAGATGCGCACCATTATGGTGAAGATCTGCATCGACACCCTTAATTCTGTCACGAGTGATAAGATAAAATGATCCTCAAAACACAAAACCCGGATTCATAAAGTAAAAGCGTCCATGTGCGAATGTCGTACTGTGAGTAGTTGTACGGTCACTGCTTTTATTCTCTTTTTGAAAGAAGACACTGTCTTTCTAAAAAGAAAAAAAAACTGTAATAAACAAATACAATTCCTTTTTTGATAGAGTTCCCTTTGACCTAATATTAGTTACAGAACCATTTCGTACTGCATGATTTTTCATATATATTAATATATTTTCATGTATATTTTTTCATATATACACCCACTAAATCATTTTATGTGACATTTTAGACACTGTACTGCCCGCCTCGGCAGAGCCATTGCGGGCGGATTAATGTGCGGAGCCGCAAAGCCGCCGCACAGACACTCATCACGGGGAACGCGGTGAAAATGCGGACCCTCTCCGCTCCGGACCCCAGACACCTGTTGCTACCGGCGGCGGCGTCTCCGGCTCAAAGCGCTGAGCAGACCGGCCTGACGAAAGAGCCGGAAATGGTGTTTTCTCGCCCCAGTCGCTGTACCTATATGGGCGGGTCCAGTCCGCCTCCAGTAGCGGACCTCCGCAGCCGACAAAAGTAAGAAAACAGAAACATGGCGCCGCGTCGCCGCTGAAAGGCGAGAGCGGGCAGCAAACAAGTGGAGAACAAACTTTACGGCTGTCATCCGGAAGGAAGGAAAGATCAATTTAAGAAATAACTGCGTGGCTATATCCGTGAGCTCCGAGCCAGGCTTTTATTATCTGCGTCAGGGCGGAATATATCCCTCTCTCTCGCTAACGAGAACTGGAAGTTGTCTTCATGTCAGCGTCTCCCTCAGTGCTGTAAACAGCTGGTAAGTGCGCCCTAATTAATTTTTTTATTCGGTATTTTAGTTAATTAGAGTAATTGACTCTCGGGTCTGGAGCTTTATTCTTCTTATACTTGGTGGAAAGTAAAGGAGCCTCATCCGTGGGCTCGATCGGAAGGGATCCACCGCGATCCGGTACGCTGGCTACACTGTAGTACTCCATAATGTATCACCATTTATTATAACAATATATAATGCGTGCAATGTCGTGTCACACTTCGGGTGGATCCTTAGCGGGAAACAGAGTCACTTTGGCAGACGGATTTCGGTGGTTATATGAAGAGCTGGGCATGCATTGTCGTGCAGGTTTCAAAGGGCTGGGGGTAGAGTTTCACGACCCATTCGACTCGGATGAAAGATAAATGCACTTATTACCCTCCATGGAGAGTATAATGCATCATTTAAACCCTCGATGTGAAGAATAGGATTTATCTAGAAGCTCGAATGGACGCGGGTACGGGCTACCATTATATTGCGCGGTATTTGCTTTCAGAATGAGAAAAAACCCTGCAACATGAATAAGTTGTCAGGAAGGAAAGTTCAATATTTACACATGACTCAAACTTTGGGATTGTTAACCCTTCGTGATCAGCCTTCCCTCCTGCATCTGTTGCGGCATTTTTACAGATACGTCTTTAAATATGGATTAAGAAAGTAATGCAGCCATGTGTTCCGTGTGGATGATCGAAGCTATCTTGACTGTCAGCCGAAAGCATCGAGTTTGTCGGGTTACGTCTCAGTCCAACGCAATGTCCCTTCATGATCTCCTCTCCAGTGCCCCGCCCCCTTGCCCATCAGTTGCACCCGGTGTAGGGGCAGGGGACGGGGGTGGTGCTAGTTATTTTCTGAATCTCATACCGTGTTTATTCATAATTTCAGAGCGTCCAGAAACATCCGGGTACTTTTTGGGATGCGTAATGGAGAGTGTTGTTAAATGTGACCCTTTGGTTTGGAGCTTTCGGACTTGTGTGGAATTATTCTGACACATTGCTTTTCTATTTTCCATTACATGTTATGAATTATCTCATTTGTCATCATCACAGCCCCAGTCCCCGGAGAGCAGAACCTGTCTTTTGACCCATCCTTGGCAATGCAGTGTGTGAATTGTGCCCCGGTGGTAACACCTACTGCATCGCAGCATCCCTGTAGCAGATATCCCAGAATGCTGTGCTGCTCTGGGTCATCTGATGCTGAGGTGTGTCGGCCTCTCTAATTCGCCGAGGCCTCGTGTTCGGGTGATGCAGGTGTCGCCGTAACCATAGCAAATCCGCGGTTTTCAGTTACCTGTTTTCGCCTCGTTGGTTCTCCGCGGATCGGCACTGGCACCGGTCATTCTCACATCCCAGTTGTGAAACTGCCGTTCAGCCGCGGCCGTATACTGGTTTTGACCGGTATGCACATGCTTTTTCTGTTTTCCAGGAAGTAAAACCCAAATCAGCATTGCTAAGCATGTTATTTGGGGGGCCGAACAATTTGTTGGATCTATGCGATGAGCCTTTGCCAGTCATGCACGGTCGTCCGGGAGCAGACGGAAGACTTGACGCAGTCTTGACAGAACTTTGTGTCACTGCAGCACTTAAACAGTACTATAGTACTTTAACCCCCCCCCCCCCCCAGGGCCAAGGAAGCTCACAGTAGGCTAGGCTGCCGCAAATGACAGACCTGTGTCGTACGACTAGGGAATGAGAGAGTGTCATGGTTTTGGCTGCTGGTAGTTTACGACCAGGTAGGTATCTTGGGTGAACATCCACACCGTAGGACGGTATTCAATCTTGGCCTCTGTTTAACTTCGCTCTGCATGCGTCCTTCACCTCAGTAATCCCATACTTTATTTATAGACATTTTATTTAGCAATATATCGGGCTGTAGAGAAACATTGTGCTGTAACGCACGGTGGTTTGTCTGAGGGCAGGCATCCATACCGAAGACGTGTGCGTTGATCGTCCCTAGGAAGATGACCGGCACTGATACGTTAAGGCAGAGCAGTAGACAGAACCTGAACACCTAAGAAGGGTTCATGTTTATTCCTGGGACTGCCGGGCTGTTCAGTGTTAGGGGACTCCTGTGTGGTGTCCAGTTATTACTGGTGTGTCGAGTGCCATTCAGCTGTTGTGTCATGTGCTGAGAATTTACGCAACTTTCCATACGGCATGTGGCTGATCGCTATACAGCTCCATCACCTGCCATTGGCAAATGTATAATAATAATAATAATAATAATAATTTTTTTATCTATATGAGAATGTGTGTGTGACGTGCTTCTACCTTATTGTACAATACTTTCAGTTCAACATCCAGCTATATTGATGCCTGTTATGTGTTTTTTTTATTATTTAGTGACCAGCTACATGTGTAGTACTGATTTTCTCTTGCTGTTCATCATCCCTCCTCTACACCCTCGTCCATCACGCTTTTAATAGCCTGTCAGCGACCTCTTTAACCGAGAAAGTTAATCGCGGTGATTGGCGAGCTTGTGTCGGCCTGCTGTGCCGGACCGCGTAAAGCGATTGTCGCCTCCGTGACATTTTGAGGCTCTTCCTGGTGGCATTTCCAGAACGGTCTCCTTGTGGTCAGGCCCGCAGGATGGTACAGTGAGTAGGTGGTGGTGGTGGGGGGGGGGTCGTAAACGTCACGAGCGGACCCTGTGAGGTGAAGCCTCGTGCCGTTATGGGCTGGTGAGAAGAGAGGCTTATAAGTAACTGATATTAACCTGAGGTGAGTTGTCCATTAATAATGCAACTCCCAGGCCCAGAATTGGCACCCATATCACGCGTGCCCTCTTGGGAAGAGGTTTGCTATGTTAACGTCTTGTCTTGAAAATCGCAGCTCATCCATGGCACGTGTAACTCATTTCCTGCTTTTATAGAGTGGCCTATGATGGGCAGGACACAGCACTCAGCCTCATACCCTTTCAGGCGATGGTGGCTGGGCCTCTTATGGCAGCTGCTTAGCTTGAACAGCCCCTAAGCGTCCCGTCGCTCTCTCCCTGCTAACAGCGAATGCAGTTCTGCTTTCCGCCGGGGCTGTCTCTGTAAATAACGCGGTGGATGTGCACGCACTGCTGATTATTTGTTTACCCTCGTCTCCTATCAGACGCTACGTGATTCGGTTTGTTGACCCAGGGCTGTCACATTCTGTTCCCGCGTCAGAAACAGGATGGAGTATTACCTCATAGCGCAAGAGATTATGTTTCCCTATACTATATAAATAGAAGTCCGCTTGTTGTGTATGTTGTTGTAATGCTGTTGTTGTTATGGGTGTAACGATTCATCGATTCTAATCAATATGTTGATTGTTAAGGCCATAATACGATTTAATCAACTCAGTTTACAAATTGATTCATATCATTAAACCATGATGATGCACCAAAACGGCAAAAAAAAACCATCAATGAAATAATCTCACACACAAAGTAGTCTAGAGACTCACCTTAGTAGAAAGCTGATTCCAATACATTACAGTATATGTTATGTAATTTAGTACACCTATGTTCCTGTGTTTTCAGAGTACATTTTTTATTCAAGTACAAACACAAGATGGAATGTTTCTTGCGCGTACATTTTTTTCTTGTTTTTGAGGCGTGCGTTTTTTTTCAATATTCAGTTAACATAAAAAAGTAGCGTTTATTATGTCTTTTTGAATCAAAATTAATTCCACTAAAATCAGCTTATGTTTCACTATATTGAAAATATTGATCATGTGATCGATATTTGAACCGATTCGTGTTGTATCATTTCAAATCGCCGGATATTGACTGGCTGCCTTGCGAAATTAAAACTAACTGTAACTGACGTTGTTTTCATTGTCCATACAGGCAGGAGTCTAATGTGAGTCATGTGACCCCCCAAAAAACGTCTCCCATTCACAGTAAGCAAGTACTGCTGTTGTTCAGTTTCTTAGGGACTGAGTTTCTCATTGAAGATGGCAGTCGGTTCAGGTGAGTTTGTGCCCCCCCTCCATTGCTGACCGGTGGGAGACGGGGCAAGAGATGTGCAACTAATAGTTACGTCTGCTTGGAGTGTGACTCACCTTGGAAGCGGAGTAAACTTAAGCTGTCTTCGTTTTGCGTTTCGCATCCTTCATATTTACTTGATCCTATCATCGAAAGCAATTTTACAGGCTTTAATGAAGTGGGAAATTATGCACCCGATTCGCTGCAGATTTTCTGACCGCTCATGGGACTTGTAACTGTAAATCTCCGGGTTAGACGTTCATGTCTTTAACCAATGAGCTACCAGTCGACTCTTAATTTCAATGTTTTGACAGATTTTTATTGTGTTTTTATCTTAGTACTCGGACTTCAAATGTACAGGTTGTTTGCTTGTGTTGATTTTTTAAATGGGTGCGTGACGTTGTAGCTCATTAGTGGTGTTAAAGTTAGCTGCGTAATGATATTACAAGATTCTAGCAAGTTCCCCAGGTCCTGCCACCTGCTGGTTTGTGCCTGTCCTTCCACACACTCATGTAAAAATACCAGCGGGTAGAAGGAGCAGCCAAGTCTGACACCTGATCTATGTCTCCAACCCCCCACCTTGCCTAACATGCCCCCCCCCCGTGGGATCTGTATTGTGTGACATCACCAGCTCGGCGTGTAACGAGGATCTGGCCGCTCCCGTGTCGTTTTGGTTCATATTGCTCTTTGCGTGTTCGTGCGTGCGTGCGTGCGTGTTCGTGCGTGCGTGTGTGCGTGCTGGGTGAAGTGAGGTTTGGGAATAGCTAAAACGAAGAGGGCAGCAGCATTGCTTTGTGCCAGAGGCTTTGTTTGACTGTTTAATAATGAAACAGAGCAGGTCTTTGCCATGCGGGACCCGTACCTGTACCTGCCTGTCCTAGGGTGTCTCAGGTTTCAGCTGGAGACTCGGTCCAGACCAGAGACGCGTCTGGAGCTCCAGGGACAACTGGCTCCGTCTGACGAGCCTGGCTCACGGAGCCATTTCCTTGGAAAGGCTCTGCGATGGCGGAGCGGGAAACCACTGGGAATGTCTG